AAGCTCAGCTGTGAATTGCTCCTCATATCTTCAAATTGTGCAGTGCTTTCATGTCAACTTTTGGGTGTAACCCATAGAAGATGTGTTTGCTTTTGTGGGCTTTGACTCAATTGAGGATGTCTTTTCACACAGTGCGGAGGAATGTGGGAATAAGGGACACAAATGCACCTTTTTGAAATGAATACCTAGTGAGTTCTCGTGTCTAATGTGCCCAATTAAAATATTATCTATCATTATGATGTTTTCTTAGCTTCAAGTGATCTCGTGTTGCCTCTTCTGACAGAAACAACATGTCTCTACTGTTCAAAGCGCTTCAAGTGTCTTTGAGGTTGTAAACAAATAGCCTGAGTCCACACATCATAGCTCAAACTATCAATTAAAACTGAGGCATGTTAATTCAGATTAATGCAACATGCTGCTCTGTAAAGATGTATTCAAAAGCAAGAAATAATATTAACAGGCATGTACAAAAGAAAAAGGCAGGGTAGCCATTTGCACATACTCAACATATTTCTGTTTTAAAGTGCACTTATGGTAAAGGTCCACTTCAATTCATGAACATGGAACAAGTTACATTACATTACATAACATTGCATTTATCTGACGCTTTTATCCAAAGCGACTTACAATAAGTGCATTCAACCAACAAGATACAAACTTGAGGAAAACAGAATCATATAAGTACATCAGGTTTCATAGAGCCAAAACATTTCAAGTGCTACTCAACTGGCTTTAGATAAGCCAGTCCTTTATTAGTATATAAGTGCTTTGTTAGCAATTCTTTGTTAGTAATTCTATCGCTCGAAGTGGAGTCGAAAGAGATGAGATGGGCTATGGTCATTTTAAAAGTTCCATAGGCCTACCCAAGATTTGCGGCTGTGGTTGAGTCACTATCTATTATCTATTTTTGTTTGGCCTCATACTGTGTGTAGTTACTTTTCATGTTCTTCCTTTTTATTATATCTCCACAAATGGAACGTTAATTGTTAAGAAAAGCTGATGTAACCAAAAACATTTTAAACCTTAAGTATTTAAAATGTGATCTTTTAAATGTGCAATGTGTAGTGTAAAGCATCAAAAATGGCTGACGTTAACTACAGGGTAACCCAACTCATGACGATTATAAAATAGAAGTGTTGTTTAACGTTACCTCAGAGTCTTAGCCACTCAAATTTGAGTCATTGTCCCTCTGCTGTTAGTTAGTTGTGAGCTTTTTATATACCTATGAATTAAGATTGTATGCCTCACAGGAGTAGAGGTACAATAATGCCCCTTTCTTCTGTGGAGCAGGTGGCATGGAATGACTTGTTGCACTATTTTAATAGAGCTCCCTTCCCATGATGCCACAGGTCTTGCTCATTATTTATCGGTCTGTTTGTAATGGCTGCTGCATTCCAGTGCGGCTCCTCAAACTTGTTATGAGGCTTTCTCTGAACTATGTGTTTGTTGTTGTCGTACCTGTAAAAGGCAAACAATAATACATCTGCAAAGTGTTTGGTTAAAAGAAACCCAGTGGTGCTCTAGGAGGAGATTCTGGTGATAAGGTAGGCAGGATTACCTTTTAGTGGCTAATGGTTGCCCAACACTAAAAGCATTTGTGATGTCACAAAATGGGTAAATCTGATTGTTGCCGAATCTCTTAACATACTCTTAGCATACTTATACATATTTATGTATAAAAAACATGAACAAGCAGATTTTGCACAATAGGTGACCTTTAAGACAAAAGGATGCTAGTATTTGCTATGGAACCATTTATCAGTGTCTACCGAACACAATGACTGCATGTGGTTGAACACACTCAATGTGTTTCCCACTGTGTCAATAATGGCCGTGTTCTCATTACTGCACATCTTCATGTTTATGTGCATATCTTACCTAATGTCTAAAATCAAGCCAAAGGACAAACATCATTTTTTTTTCCAATGTGCAAAACATCTAAGTTAATAAAAGTATTAACGATTTTAGATTTCTCGTCCCCTGAGCCGTGTTGGACGAAAAGCTCATATGAGCGTAATGATGTTAGTTACACCGTGAGCCCCCATTAACATCGCAAAGCCAAGACGAATAAACTCAATGATGTGCTCTGATGAACTATGAAACAATTCAGCAGTTTGATATATTGCTCCCTTAAGCAAAAAGCAACCGCTTCGAAGCTGTGCTGTCGTGGGAACAGAGTGTTAACAACAGATTTCACTTGTGCAAAAAAAAAAAACTGTTTCAGCGAGTTGTCATTCAAAAGCAATTTAGAAGCAGTAGGATCTCATTATTACATCAATTTAATTCCAATTAAAGGGAATGAATCAAATGATCCCTTTCATAGCATGCGGTAAAATGACTGGCATAGATACAAAACATCATATCGGCAAATTGATTTCATTCATTTGTTTTTCTCATTTATCACTCCTTTTTCAAAAAAATTAGCACAAAAGGTCAAAAACTAAATTAGCATGTCACAAATTGTTATTGGGTTTAATAAATCACACATTAATCTAGCTTTTTCTTTTATGAAATTGCTATTTAATTAGCCTTTTCAATTGAACCTACACATTCTGCAGATGTGAACACAGCATGGATCGCTATGTCACGCATGTTCTTTTTAATATTAGAAAACATAATGAAATTAGAAAGTCAGAGCTTGATTCAAAGCCTTCAACAAAATAAGCATTAATATTCAACAGGTGCTACACGCAAAATCCACTTCCTCAAGTAATTACAGCAACAAAAGAGACGGTGCAGTAGGTTGCCTAAACATGACTGACAATTATTTTCATCAGACTGAACATCAGATGCATTGTATATTATACAATTGATGGAAGTGTAATACGCTATATGTGTAAGCAAATGTGTTTAACATCAAAGATTCAAAGAATTGTCCTATATTTGTCAGTATCCATATCCGCACCTCCATATGAATACAAAGCTTTCTTTTCTTTGTTGGTGAAAGTTATATCCAAAATCTTTTAGTATTGCACCCATATCATCTGTAGACTTTTTTCATTTGTTTGTAGGACCACTCTCCAAAAATATAGAGGCTGTGGTAAGACTGGAATCCATATAAATATTACATTTAAAGCTACATTTTGACGCTGACAAAGTCTTCACAGTGGGAAGAATCAGCCATTTTGTTCCCTCTCTGACCACACAGAGTACTTCTAGTTTGTGCTATTTGTCAGAGGTGGAAAATCACTGTGCTTTTGTCACAAACACTTTGATGTTACCTAGTATTGACTGCAAGAGCAGTTCTGTTTCACAGTGCCAAAATCAACCACATCATCACTCCGATACGAGGGTGTATAACTGGAGAATGAAGTTCTCTCTCTCTTTCATAACTTCCCTGTGTCTGACATTTATTTGACTGAACACTTTCCTGAGGAGTAGAACAGGATTTCACACCTTTTTTGTGAGCATAGCTTGACTTTGCTGCTTAGTTTATAGTTGCCTAACAACACCCCAAGCTTTGAATGTCAGAATGACTGATCATAATGTTCACACAGTTTGTGTCCACAATATCTCTGTTTCAGAGTCTGTTATATCAGATGTACTGAGAACAGAAATAAGAGTTATGTTTTAGAACACTTTACATTTTATTCATAAGGAACACGCTATTCTCTTGTTGCTAATAATCCTATCAGGTTTATCAACTGGATCAACTTCTGCCTGAGATATGAAATGTAATTAGGCATGTTTGCTGGTTGACCTTTCCAAACTGTGTTTCACTTTATCCTCTTAACACTGAAAAGGGCTCAATTAGGGAAGTTTGTTCTTCTTTACTGCCCAATTTCATAATATTAATCGTTTGAGTGCATTCTTAAATGAAAGCAATGCATATAAAGAAAACCCAAATCGTCTGTATACTGTGAGCAGAAAGACCGCTGCAAAACGCTATGCATTTATCGGGGGTTTGGTAAATGAATATCAATACTCCTTGTTAGAAAGATTTAAAATTTGTGGGGAAGACAAAATGCTTGCACTGTTGAAAAGGTAGGTGGCCTGGGGTTGAAAATATACATATCAAATACAAAACAAGATATTGCTTGAAGCCAGATTTAAAGAGTTTACAACATTTGCATCTCAGCAAAGTATCAACATATCTTTCAATACTACCTAACCAAACTTAAACTTGTCTTTGTATCTTTTAGTACATAAGCCATTGATCTGTTTGGGATCCAAAATCGAAGTAAATCAAGTCCTTTCTCAGGGTGTCCGCAGGGTCTTAAAAAGTATTAAAAGTTGATAAATCAATTTAGCGAAAATTAAGGCTATTAAAAAGTATTAAAAAGTATAAAACGGCATTTTCCAAGGTATTACATTTTGTAGCTTGTTTTCAATAAGTATATCAATTATCCAAAGAGGTTGTATTCTAAAGTTTGCCTGAATTTGCCTGAATGTAATCATTGCGTAGGTGTGTACTGTGTAGTTTATTTATGGCATCCCGTTGGATTGGACGTCATCTGAACAGGACATCGCACGCTCACTGCTTGATAGCGCGCGAAGGTCCGTTTACGCCGGTTGTTAAACAACATCGTTATGGGAAATGCAAGTTTGCGTCCAAATGGTTGGAAGATAAGGAGGAAGGACAATCAATACTGTATATAGTAAAGGTGAGGTAAAGTGTGTCGCCAATGTAACCGGTTAAAACTCCAAGTGGCGATGAGGTCTTAAAATGTATGGAAAGGGTCTTAAAAAAGGTCATAAAAGGTATTACATTTGACTTCAGGATTCCTGCATATACCCTGTTTTTGACGAGAAACTAACCTCATATTTTAGGTCCATTTTATATTGACGTCCGCTGCTGGTTTGATTACTTTCTTTTTCACTTTCGTTCCTTTCTTCCTCAGTTCATGAATAAAGCAATCACGGAGGTTAAGTGAATGGCCTTGAATTGTGCTTGATTGCAAGCTGCCAGATTGCTGCTATTTAAATCATCCTATTTTTTTCTACATCCTCAGATTTTAATGAAAATGCCCTCTCCATGTGTTTCTTTTCTTGGTTTGCAGGCCAGTGGGGTCAGTGTATCGGGGAGCAGTGTGGTTCTGGTGGGGTTCAGTCAAGAACAATATGGTGTGTCCACACGGAGGGCTGGACCACCCACCATACCCACTGCCAGCACATGGACAAGCCAGAAAGCCAGCGTCACTGCTTTAAGGTCTGCGACTGGCACCAGAACCTGTTTGAGTGGGAGGTGTCAGACTGGGGGGGCTGTGTTCTCGTCCCTTTCTTCTCCAACGAGCTCAAGCTGAGGATGGCCGAGTGCGTAACGGCGCAGCACGGCATCCAGAGGCGCAAAGTCCACTGTGTGCGCACTTCAAACCGTACCACAGTCAATTTGAGGATATGTGAGTTCTTTTCCCAGAAGCCACCTGTGGAGCAGGCGTGCCTCATCCCCTGCCCCCAGGACTGTGTAGTTTCAGACTTTACGTCCTGGTCCAGTTGCAGCAAAACGTGCGGCACTGGCATGCAGCATCGGACTCGACATGTTCTGGCCACGCCAATGTTCGGAGGGGAAAGCTGCCCCAATTTGACAGAGACCAGGACTTGTTCTGGTTATGTTGACTGCCCTGCTGGGGAGGGGGAGTACCAGTACAGCCTTAAAGTAGGGGCCTGGAGCGAGTGCCGACTTCCGTATCACAAGGACGCCCTGTTGAGTGGCAGGACCACAGTGGACTTCAGCTCCAATGAGAACAACACAGTCACATTGCACATGCAGACCTCCCACCACCACCATCACGCCCACCACCACCACGATAACCCCATGTCATGGGAGCTGGAGGTGGGATACCAGACACGACAAGTCCGCTGCACACGGAGCGACGGCAAGAACGCTATGCTGAGGTAAGACATTACACGTGCTACCATGTGCTGCACCTTTCATACAGCGAGAATGAGAAATTGTGAAACTGACATTTCTATTGGTCCAAGATTAATCCACGATTATGACGAAAAAGGGCACACATTGACTTTAATTAAATATATTATGTCAACATTTTTCACATAACTGCATTAGGTTAGATGAAAGCAATAATATTAAGTTTTATTAAAAAATCTTTGGTGTAAATTAGATGAAATTTGTTGACATAATACATTTAGTTAAAGTCAATGTTTCAGTTTTCGTCAGTGTAGCTGTGTTAAATAAACTGGTTTGTCGTAGATCTGGGGGACAGACCTCAACATAAATCTCTTTTTCCATGTGTTGAGGCTGCTCTTCTATGTGGGCGTCTGCAATTTGAAATAGTCCTAATGGAGTTGATTGCTTTTACGGCTCTTTCACACTCATATTGTTTAATAACACGAGAGGGACATGATCAATGACCATCCTCCTTCATGATCCCAGCGGGTCATTTTGTGAAACTAAATGGTTTTTATTGATGGTGGTTATTTATTCAATTATAACTGGATTATGTCAGAGCTGGTGTTTCAGCAGCATATTAGCATGGTGGTGAGTCACTATTATGGTAAATGGCAAGTGCTGCTCCCCTCCTGTCCCTGCTGTTTGAGCAAGCCGTGGTATTTAGATTTGATAAGAATGGACTTTACTGCACAGAGCGAAAACACACACACACTCATTCAAACACATGCAGAAATAAACAACATTCCACTGTATTCATTATATCAAGGAAATAGAAAATCATTACATATAAATTATATTGACTACATACTCGACCCTTATCTTAGTGCAAGATGACACTATTAACTGACTGCTGAAATCAATTGTTAACTTCCATTCTTGGAGGCTGTGGTATCAGAACCACTTAACATAAGTTACTGTGGGAGCATTGCATTTTATATTTAGAGTCATGGACAGTGCATTGCAGTTGTGTACAGCTAAATAAAAGCTTAGCCGTGTCAGATTTAGGGGTTTTAAGAAGTATCATGGTTGTTTTGATGTTATGAATTTTGTTTAAAGGGCTTAAAATAGGCTGTCTAGTTATGTGTTTGATATTTGCCCCTTAATATCCCCAACAAGGCAGGCTCGCTGGCTTTATGACTTGATTGTGAAGGGACCATTTATAGTTCGGTGGCTGATTAGCATGGCACTTGCTAAGAAGTGCGATCGGGGCTTTTGAATATGGATTTCCCACCTGAGTTCTGCCTCATTCTGCTTTTCTAATTACAGCCTAATTAGAAAGTAAAATTCTTAAATGAGCATTGTACTCGCATCTTAATAACCTACCTAATTAAATTGTTCAAATTAAACAATGGAATTGTAATTACTTGACTAATGCTCTGGTTTCATTTTATTTTTTTGTGAGCTCTTTGTACGGTTTCTGTAAAGACCGACTGTATGTCTGAGTCTTGTGTTAGTATCATGTATAACAGCTTTGAATATAGTCATGTAGAAGGGGAAGCTGTAAAGGAAGCTGTAAAGGACATGTGCTTAACAGGTAGTCAGCAGCAGGTTTTATTTGATTTCTTAGATTCTCACTGCATAAAATGTATTCACAGGTCTATTTAAATATTTAACAAATGTAACATCTTTCCCGCTATCTCACTCTCTGCACAGCAACTCTACTCATACACTGTGAAGGTGTTACCTAGTTAAGTTTTATTCTTTATGTGATTCTAGGATTTTAATTGTACTATTTTATCTTAACATTTTCTTACTTTTTCTCAATCAGCCTCTGTACCAGGGACAATGCCCCCTTGACCTTTCAGGCCTGTGTGATGCCCAAAGACTGTCACACTTCTGATTGGTCATCGTGGAGTCCCTGCTCCAAGACCTGCCGCTCCGCCGACCTGTCGCCTGGTTACCGCCTCCGGTCACGCATCATGACGCAGATCCCCGTCCGAGGGGGGGAGCGTTGTCCTGCCCTTGAGGAAAAAGAAGCCTGCAACATCATAGGAGATTTGCTTCCAAACTGCCCGAGGTAGTTATTAATGACAGTGGTTATCATCTCATTTCAGCTCACAATCCCCAGAAACAAAAGCTTTGTTCGCCTGTAATCTCCTGATGCAGATGCTAATAGTGACTTTTAATTTAGCTTCTCTGAGCTTTTTTCACCTGAGTGATTATGAAAGAAAGCCTAGAGGCTGCAATAATTCATGATTTCACTGTTGAATTACTTTTTTTTGGGATTAGCTCAATTATGTTGTGCCACTTACAATAACGTTATGTCCTGTTGGGAGTTCCTAACCCACTGGACGTGACAGGATAGTCCTATAACAGTTTGAGTTAGGCTTAGGCTAATACTACGTGCAGTAAACAAAGTAAATCAATAGAGTTTTTTCTCTTCCCTGCCGGTAGATTGTTTTATTTGCTAAATCTACATGGAGTGCCTGCGAGCAGAGGATTTACATGATTAGGGAAAACTCATTACGGAAATTAAGCATTCGATAGATTACTACAGGCTGTTGTCATAGTAGACCCATCCAATATTATTGCTTTTCCGCACCGCTGCATTTTTCATAGTTGAAACCAAACATTTGTTGAGAAGTTCTGAAATCCAAGTAATCATGCCTCGTTCAAGCTGACATACTGTGAGAGACTATTGCCGGAGACTGCTCCCACTAATTCATATTTTTCTTTCTGTACATTTTCAGAAAACAACTGCCACTACTCTGTATATGCTGACACTTTCTTTTTTTAATCAGTCAATTATACATTGTTTCTGATTGGATTGTGCCTGTATTCATAAGAGTACACAAACAAGACTTATCAAACAGTGACTCCTGACGCTGATATCTTCTCGTCTTTTTCCGTCAGGTATGTGTGGAGGGCCACTGACTGGGACGACTGTCGAATCCTCCCCTTACTGAGCCATCAGGACCAGCGGCTGGCCAACATCTCCATCCTGTGTGGAAGTGGGATCCAGACCAGGAAGACCTACTGTGTTCAGGTCCCCGACGACTCAGCACCACATCACAGGAAGGAGGGTAAGATCTCACGCCACTTGGTGATGCAAAAGATAAACCATAAATATATTCTGTCTAAACCCAGCCTGTCCTCCTCCAAAAAACTACCAAATAGGTCGATTGTTCAGCAGCTTATTACGACCTATAGTCACGTTTTAAAATGTAGCACCTCTAGTGGTCGTGTAAGAAACAACAATTTGCGGCATATGGGCTGATGCTCCCGTTGATTGCAAACGCTCCGTAGGGTCGTATATTCACAATTAACCCTCTCTGGAAAATCCTAAATTGTAGAATAGTTTGGCCATTAAAATGCTTTTTGATTAGATTTCTAGCGAGAAGTGTATATTGTACTTTTAGAATCCAGGTACAGTGGATGTATAGGATCTATAGTTTGATAGATATTACGAAGATGATTTGAGGTCTCGCCAGGAGAACGTGTACTACGTCTTTCCCCTATTCATTTCTATTGACGGCAGCGTCCATGTAAAGTTGGCGTCAACTCTCACGGGGTGAAAACAGTATTTCCGGTCTTGAAGTTTTCATAATAAAACCGGAAGTATTCCCCTCACTGTCAAATGATTACACAGTGATATCTGCTGTACTCATCCACTAAAAAACATCAGTTTATCCTTGTTAATTACACAACATTGATTGGTTTAAATTGTGTACAATTATTTTGTGTTTTTAACCTTCGATTCGGAGAAACAATAGTTTTTTCGGAGTTTAGGATGGCCGAAGACACTACACTACCCATAATCCTCAGCTATCGTTTGGGACTACAACATCCGCTTTGCTTGACAAACCCCGTGATTAGTCCTCAAGCTCGGTTTTTCTTTAAAAAATAAAATATAAAAAAGAGTGCAAGACAATAGAATATGATATATACAAGAACAGAATGTAAAATTAAATATTGTGCTGTAATTAAATACGGTTTATTACAGTGATAACTATTTAGATAAAGAAATCGTTAGATCAAATAAGCTGACCAGTCCCTGAAGACCTGAGAGTTCTGGATGGTTCATAATTTAGCAGGAGATCAGAAATGTATTTAGGGCCTAAACCATTCAGTGCTTTATAAACCAGCAGCAGTATTTTTAAATCTATTATTTGACACACAGGAAGCCAGTGTAAAGACTTCAGAACAGGTGTGATGTGATCCACTTTCTTAGTGTTAGTGAGGACTCGAGCAGCAGCGTTCTGAATCAGCTGCAGCTTTCTAATAGATCTTTTTGTGAGACCTGTGAAGCCACCATTACAGTAGTCGAGTCTACTGAAGATAAAAGCATGGACAAGTTTTTCCAAATCCTGCTGTGACATTAGTCTTTTGTAGAAGTTATTATGCGTTTTTCTTAGTATCATGCAGATTTGAAAAGCTTTTACTAATGTAGACGGGTGGCTAGAGATATTGAAGTAATTCAATATAGAGAATGTAACTTCAGGAGACAGTTATTTCAGTCAGTTGGAGAGAACCACAACTCATACTGAGGTTTTTGGTCTTAAAGACAGTTTTGACATTTTAAGCTCAGGGTGGAGATGGTTAAGGTGTAGCCAGACAGCGGCTTCTTCTACTTTTCAATACAACCCTCAGGAAACATGATGAAATGAAAACCACTGAGGTAAAGTTGGTCATGTAGTTCAGCAACATTTTACCTGATAGTTGTTGGAAACTCACAGCATGTAGCTGCTCACACTAATCTATATTTATTATTTAATGCTAGTAATCTTTAAAACAGGGTATTGAACCTCAACACCTTTGGGTAGAATCCCAAATGTCTCTGTAATAATAGAGTATTAAAGAAAACAATGTACCAATTAAATATAATATCAATAAGTGGTTAATGTCTAGCCAGGTTTTATATTTTAAACGTTCTTACTAACCAGCTTGTGATATGAATCAGAATTTGTCTAGTTTTAGGCTATTTTATTTATTTATTTATTGTTTGGCTGTTTATACAACAGTTGTAACAGATTTATACATGCTTTGTGTGTGATCACCTCCATGTTCGAAAATGGGAAATTATAATAATGCAGGATTAAATTAGTTAGAATCTGTTCAATGTTAAATAATGAGTCAATGATTGCCAATTTGTTGGTTATATTGATTTTTATTTTGTTTATGTATTGTCACTGAGGGCTTCACCAATTCAGCCTCTGTAATGCTCATATCAAGGGTAAAGCCAAAAGCCTAATAGGGCTTTATAAGTTGTCAAAGCATTTTTTTTTTTTGGACATATATTAATCATGATGTTAAAGGTAGGGTAGGTAATTTTGGAGAAACCAGCTCGAGTGCGCTAGAATTTGAAAATACACAGCCAGAAAAAATCTGCCACTTCCTTACAGAGCCCCTCCTCCAACACACACGAACGCGCACATGACCAATGAGGGCACGAGATAAGTTTGTGCACAGATGAAAGGCTGACAGGCAGGTAGGCCATCCAGTCATTTTAGCCGAGCCGGCTAAAATGACGTGAAAAAAAAAGAAGTGCTTTTTACAGTACTACGGCTTCCACAGATGACATTTTTTTATGGATTTTTTGTCAAAGCACTTAAGATATTCATTGCTATCGGGATGTTAAGAGCATTCCATGGAATATAACAAAAAGTGTATCTCGAGCCGGTTTCTCAAACTTACCTACCCCACCTTTAATCATGACGTTAAGTAAACTTACTTTTGAATCTAATCTAATTACTTTCTCATAAAAACAAATAACTGCAAATACAATGGAACTGAAAATAAAAAGGCAAATCACAAAGGCAGACAAATTCACTCAGTGTTTATAAACTCCAATCAGTGCAAAAAAATGATCCTATTTTTCACAAAACTTCAATCAGACGAAACAAAACTTTTCGGCTCATAAAATCATCACAAAACTCGCAGGGGATTGCAAACCAAATAATTCATTTATCTTTTTAATTAAGCACAGTGGGTATTCTTTAATGAATTTTAACTATAAGGTGCTTTTTTTCCTAATCACACTTCTGCCTTATAAACATAACCATTTATTTAATAAAAACACATTCATTTTGCCTCAACCCTATTTTGTTATGGTGCCTACTCGATGTGTCATGAGGTGTTCTGGCAGTGGGATGCCTCTTCATCTCAGCAGATGTGTTGAGAGAAATTCCTCTGTGGATTCGAGGTGTATTTGGACAGTGAATATGTTAGCTGAAAATAGAATATCAATGAAGACAGCTCTTTGGACCAATGGATGTGTGGGACAACGATCAATACGTCAACTGCAATGTTTATCTTGATGTGACCGGCACAGCTTTAGCTAATGCAAACAGATGTGGCTGCATACCTGCAATATGGAAGGCTCCTGGTATAACGTGTTAAACAATTTGCTTCAGTGTCTACTGCAGTAATGCAATCGACAAATAAAAGACATTTCAATCTACGGAACAAAGCAGACAAATCTGTGCAGCTCACTTTATCAACGTGGTTAAGCAAGAATCTAATATTAACAAAGGAGATCAAACACCATGTAAATTACTTTGGTAAGAAGACAAAATGCACGCTGGACATTTAGTGAATTTCTCTTTGGGCTCTCATATAAATGGAAATGTGCCTCTCAATGAAATGCGGAGGTGCATCAAAATGGAATATTAGATTTGAATAAATCCCCGTGTCGTGGGAAGGCAGAAAGTACCCTATCTTTTTTGCGTGAGCGACTTATGTCAGAGCCCATTACAGGTTGCTGAGCTTTCTTTGATCTCCAAATGATAGCAGCCATGCTTATTGGTGCCTCGGTAATACCGTGTATTGCCTTAATATCTCCCTGTTTACTCCCATAGCTGGTCACTGTCCTCTATTTAATATTCTCCTGAGCCAGACACGGAATAAGAAGAGCAATTTTCCTTCTGTTCTTTCCTCCTTTTATTTCCTTCGGCACAAAAAGCTTTGCTAAATAGAGCCTGCTTCTCACCATAATGCACAATATTTGAAACTGTAGCTTTCACTAATACATACTCTCCTATCTTCAAAATGACAACAACTAACATACATACATATGTTTTCAATTTGAAGACTTTGGTGCTTCTTCGTATTTTTCAATATCTCTCTCTCTATATATATGCAAATATGTGATGACAGGCAATGGAGACATTCACATTGTGAAAATAAGTCATTGTAGTGTTTTTATGAAGTGCCATCTTTCAGTGATTGAAATAAATGATTGGGTTTGGCTATTTTCCCATTTAGTTATTTGTTTTAGTATTGTTGTTCCTTATGTGTCTTTTAAGACCTCAGTATTCATCTATTAACTGCATGTTTTAGCAAAAAAAAAGAAGTTTGTATTGCTCTTTTCTTAGATTACTTTAATAACTGAAAACCACACAGAGACGCACTCACTCCACCACTGCCTGTGTCTGATCCTGATTGAATCCTGCTCCTTTTCTGTGTTCCTCTTCCTGTTCAGTGTCCAGGCCTGTGATTGGCAGGCTGTGCGCGGGTGAATACCCCCCCTCGGCCGTTCAGCAGTGCTCCATCCCCTGCCAGCCCCTCTGCTTGCTCTCCCAGTGGTCCCCCTGGGGCGCCTGCCTACATGACAACTGCAAAGAACCACAGGGGAAGAAAGGTATGATGGACTTAATTGAGTATGAGAGAGAACAATCTTTTGCTTTTGAAAGGTTTGCAGAGCCACCTGTAGAAAATAGTAATTATATCTGAAACATGTTTTAAAACAGAGAATGACTAAAGTGGTAATTAAGAGCACACGCCTCTGCAAAGGCTCATGCTGTAAACAGGCGCTTCTCAGATGGTCCCGTTTTCAGAGAAGGGAAATCTTCCCAAGTATGTGTGCATTGAGTCGTAATGTGGATATGAGTCATAAACATGTGACTTTTCCCAGTCTGTAAGTATTTTTTTGTGAATTTTCAGCCAGCACATGAATGCAACCCCCTATATCAACAAAAGTGAGACTAAGTTTGTGTATCAGCCCCTTGATTTGGATCCATTACAAATTTAAATGGGTTCTATCTTGGCTTATAACCAGGGGTGCACATAACTTTTTTAGTGAGTTACTCAGATGAGTACCAAGAGACAGCGTTTGGTACTCACCCCACACGAAGCGTGGTCCTCCTCAGTGTCTCCTTCACTGTCCTCAATTTACACTTCTTGCATGCTAGATGATGAAGATGATGAAGATGCACCTCCCTGTCTCTTTTTAAGCCTCCGATTTGCTTTCTCCAAAACTTGTTGCCAAAACTGTGAAGTCCTTGCATTTCCTGAGGCCAAGTTGAAGGATCAAATACTAAGAAATGATCACATGACTTGAAGTCATATCTGATTTCAAATGTGGGAAGTAACAAAGCACACTTATTTACTCAAGTACAATTTTGAGATACTTGTAGTTGACTTGAGTATTTCTATTTTATGCTACTTTGTACTTCTACTTTTACTCCACTACATGTATTTAATACCTTTAGTTACTTTACAGATGTGGATGAATGATGTGAAATCTAATCAAGTGTTAAATCAGACTTTAGTTCTACCTGGAGTAAATTCACAAGCTACCCTGCAGTATACAAAGTCATTCAAACTAGCTGCTCCTTTACCAGCTTTGAGAACACTTTCATGATCAATCATTATAAAACATATCATATATATTATTCTGAAATGGACCAATCTGCACAATGAATACTTTTACTGTCGCTACTTTCACTATATTTTGATAATACTTTTCTAATTTTACTTGAGTAACATTTTGAATGCAGGACTTTTACTGTAACAGAGTATTCCTACACAAGATCTGAGTACTTCTTCCACCTCTGTCTGATTTCAAACTCTTCCATAACACCCTGAGTAAGTTTGCAGCTGTGTGTTTCACTCCACTTTGGTGTAAATAAAACTGCAGCAGCTTGACCACAGAGCGTGAACGTTGTGATCAGATGATTTTGCGCAGTTCTCCAGTGTGTGCGCGGGGCACAGAATGTGCACAGGGGAGTCTCCCACCGCAGCCAGTTGGCGGACTTTTGGCACAATTCTGTTGTTCATACCGACGTTAACCCTGTCTGTGCACACGGCGACCAACTCTGTCGGTTATGTCCTGCGCGGCTCACCCAGCTCCAGTTCAATCAGTCATAGAAAGATTTTTTGCAGGGAGCGAAACGGCAACGTAGCTGCTTAATGTCTTTGGGTTTTTTGACATGCCTAGTAGTTTACTCCATTGAGTGTTGACAAGAAACACGTGTAGACGAAATATGTGTTTTGTTTTGAGGTACGCAAAGGCGCGTAGTGACACAAGTGACGTTACGCAATTCAGATTTGTGCCGCGCATGCGTACCTGCGTACCAGTTATGTGCACCCCTGCTTATAACTCTTCTCCCACTGAGCAACTAAACTAACTAAAACCATATAATTATTGGCGGGAATTTATTATACTATTTTAGAAAGTAATTATAGTCTAGGTTTTCACAAATATCACTTCCTACAGTACCAACAAAGTCTGCTACCATTACCAGTTTGTACGATTATTTACCAATTACTGCTAACATCAGTTATAATCAGATAGCTCATGTGCACATTGGAACAAGCATAGCTGCTGTAGCATAATGTAACAATCTAACAAAAAACTGATCAAGGTAATATTTTAAATGCCAACAAAAATGGATTCCAAGATGCATCATGCCTTCCAACCATTTTCCATTAGCTGTTCTCTCCGAAACGTGTCTGACAGATGGACGGACAGAGGGATGGACACAGGCCATCCGAACGACAGATAGCTAGCTAACAAGCTGAGATGATTTTAAATTGACACTGATAATTTGCACAGATGGGCCAGTGGTGACATCATAAGCACTCAGTCAAAACACAATTAAAGTTGAGCTCTATTGCAGACACTATAGTAGATTTACCATCAGCTGTGCAGGGAATAATTGCGAGATGAGTACCTTCAATATGCTCAACAAGGGGCTTTGAACTAACATTGTTAAAAAAAAATTGCGTTACGCCATGTTTTAATGTCTATACAATACATTGCAACAGTGAAACTAGAAGAAAGTGCCGTATTGTGGCTGATGGAGGCTAGAGAGAAGGCGATTTTGTCAGAGCAGCAGAGAGGCAGTAAATGTTTGAATTGTAAATTGTTTGTTGATAAGAAGCTGGCTGAAAGGAAGCGTGCCCTGGAAGAAGACAGTACCGCCGCAGAAGGACAGAAAGAGAGCACACCTGTAGTTCAGCTCTCAGTCCCAGGAGGGGTTAGAGGAGCTACAGCAGATAAGATGCCTCCTGTATGCCTGGGTGTGTGTGCCTGTTTGTGTGTGTGTGCTCAAGTATTCGGCGCGTCCGTGCTGTCTGAATGTTCTTGTCTTTTTTCACAGGTGAGCGAGTGTCATATCTGACTGCTTTCGAGAGGCATTGTGTGCATAGCGTAGTGTGTGTGTTTCAGCGGGTTGAGGAGCTGTTGGTGTGTTAGCGCTGTGCTAAAAGGGCGACGTGACCTCGCTCCTGCCATGAGTAAATGTGCATGAAAGCCCCCTGGGGAGCAACTGAAGTGTGGATTGTTCAGGTCAGTGCCCAGACGCCCTGACGCTGGATCTCTACGGGATGAGCCGGCGTCTCTCGCAGAAAGTGTCATTAATATATTTCCAAGAGTGGAAAACACAGCATCTGCTGTTTCGCACAGGGCTCTCCTGTGGCACGGCATCTTTTGATGGCATTCATAAAGATCCACAGTCGATGGAGTATGAAACAAATAGAAAATCACTCGCACTGAGCTCGGTTGTCTGCGAAGCAATGAACAGTTATTGAGTAGTAGGGCGTTGTTATGATCCAAGTCGTTCGCCCGTAGTCCTTGAGCTGAAGGGAATTCTTTGCTTCTATTGAATGTACACTCAGCTTTTATGTTTCACAACATCAGAATAAACTCTGATCCATCTCTAACCGACAGACCCGCGGGAGCCCAGTGTTCAGGTAGAAGAGCCGACCAGCCTAGGTGCTTATGCAGCTGCTGCTTTGCTCCCCGGAAAATTACAAATTTAAATTGCCTCGCAGAAGCTTTTTGTGCTTTTCACATTTTTCCAACTTATCTTGGCCTATCACATTTTGCTGCTGTGTGGGAAAATGAATTGAGCACGGGAAGTTAGTGGAGAGAATTGTATTAATGCCTCTTCTAGAAGTCACCGCTGAGGGGAAGAGCATTTCTGAATAAAAGTATGCTGAAAGTCGCTGGATGGGCCTTGTTTCCCTCAAGTTAACCTGGCATGACCATGAAAGCTTTCAATTATTCAAATCCAAAGGGGCATTCCCACACCACTTGCGGTTTATATCTGAGCAGCAAGAAATGCTCTGGGCAATACTGCAATCAATACACACACTCTTTGCTCTGAGAGAGCAGCAGCGCCCGGATCGGACTCACACCACTAGATGGTCATTTGCACAGTGGGCATCCCGGTGTCAGACAGATCCATCGGTCGAGGGAAATAACGTGGGACCTTTCTGCCATGTGTCGGAGCTGTGGTGAAATCAGCATTCCTCAAAAAAGAAAAATCTGCTGCTGCTCAAGTGATATAGATATATAGTGGGTGAGCTGCTGCAGCATAGAGAAGCCATTTTATACAATCATTATTCATCAACAAAGACTGAAGCTTAGTTGGTGATAGATACATTAGATTAGAGCATGAGGTGCTACGGGAAGTAATCTTTTCATTAAGAACTATGTATTTCATGAAAAATCCAGCTTTTTTAGCCAAGAAAGGAATCGTAAATGTGCTTATTTGATCTATATTTAGGGCAATTTAACATTAACTAGAAACTGCATAACCAAAACAAAATGTAACAGTAAACCAAACATAAAGTGTGTTGTTAAAAATGTGCAAAATCTGCAGTTATTTCTATTTTGAATCCCCTTATTCGTATTTACTGAAGCCCTACACTAAGGTGCTGTGCAACTGAGGTAGAAGTTAATTGACAGTTAAGTAAATAAGTATTTCTGGCACAAAAAGTCTGGGAAGAAAGCAGAGAAAGTCATACCACTAGCTGCTGCACCTGATTTGTCACTGCCAGCTCCCTCAGGGGAAACTGTAAAAATCATTGGCACCTTTTATTAGACAAACACAGAGGGGGATAGACTTTACCAATAAGAGACGTCAATGCTAGCCTTCTACTGTTTAGTTCACACAATGAAAACTATTTAGTGACAACACTAAAGATCATTGTTGCAACTTATGCCATGCATGCCAGGTCACTTTACAGGAGCTCTGTTAAAGACCCAACAACACATCATTCAGCAAAGCAGTATAAATACATTTGAATTGCCTCCCTCGTCTCCGGCTTGATTGTGGAACATGTTTGAGTATAATTGGCTAACAGCTGGTCCATTGTTTTGTGTTATGTTCGATTAAGCTAATTAAGTACTTATTTTTGAAGGCCTGTAGTCTGTCTGTTTAGAGGAAAATGAAAGTTTCAGGAACTAGCAAAAGTCAGAATTTTGCACTGATGCATAGTATGCTCTATTCAACCAGTTTTCAGCTTCAGCATCAGTTTACAGTTTTTTTAATTATCATCATTTAATCTATTAGTTTATCGAAATGTGCACATGTAACTTTGATCTAGAGACCTTTGTTTAGACTTTCCCTAGTCTACCTAAATTGTTTTCCTAACGTTGCTTTGACTTTCCATGCAAACCTTGAAATGTCTTTTATGTTTCCATAACTGCACCATTTCTAAGACTCAGGTCTTTGCAAAGGCTAATTTCTGTCTTTCAACACAAAGCTAGTACACTTTCCAACTTTTATTTTTTAACTTAACATTTTGAAAAAAGGACTCTTTTTGTTCCGGCACAAGGAGGAATCCTTTTTCCACTCGTGATCTATCTTGAGAAAATGCCAACCTTTTTCAAAGCAGCTTAAAAAAAGTATTTATCTTTTTTTACCTCCCATCTTTTTGGGACAACATAACATATTTTTCCTTCCATATCTCTTTCCGAGCCCTATAGACATGGGCTGTTATGACGGACATTCCGTTGTTTAACCACTACAGAGACGATCAGTAGATGCCAGCGTGGAGCCTCAGCTGGCAGTCCCCAATTTAGAAACAGAAGCAGTGGCAGCAGTAGTGAAAAGACAGTGAGACTCAGTAATTGGAGCGACAGGTGTCATTGTGAGCGGCTTGCCAGTCACTGTAACTTGACCCCAATCACTCCCACTTTCCAGGTATCTTTTTTAACCACCTTCTCCTTAGCCATGCCGGTTTGCTCATTATCTCCCTCACTTCCCATTTCCTCTCTTCTCTCTTGGGAAAAGAATCCAGGTGGAGATCTCTCCATTCATTCATTCAATTAGTCCATCCAACCCATGAAATCCGTACTCTTTATGTTTCTTCATTAAAAACTAAGATAAAATGTGTTTTTAAGGTTTATTTCAAAAGTATAGGTATGTTTTGTGTTAAACGTGGGATAAGGAAAGGTTATAAATATGTGCAGTTGAAATCTTTGAAACTAATTTTTAAACAAACAGCATCTGTTGCAGCAAGAAAACATAAACAAAACGTGTTAAAACTGTCACACCAATTTACATGTGGTAATTTCAAGTCAGAAGTAAATGTTGTTAATAATAAAATATATTGCATGAATTCTAACAACAACAATTAATCTCGCAACACCAACAAAACTTAAAAAGAGACAAACAATTAAATGCACTCTAATGTGAGTTGCTTTTTCAGTTTTACCAGAAATGTGTCATTTGTACATGCTGGTGTATCCAAATCCAGGTGAAGGACATTCTTTTTAAAGGCACACTCTGGCACAGTAAATGGATGGGAATAAGAAAGGTCACACATTTCCAACAACCAGCCAAACCAAATTATTTCTGGCCCTTTTCCAATGTCCTCTTTTTGGGTATATCAAAACTTTTAAAACAGTTTCATGAATTTACAAAATCAATACAAGGCAAAACTGCATGAAATGTATTTTGAATTTCAATATGTTTCTTAATAATGCATGTGGAGGAAGTGGAAATGGATTTTAGTTTCACCCTATTCAGGCTGTGGCCTGCTCCTAGTGCTGAAACTGAGTCTAAGAAGTGCTTACAGTACAACAAACATACATTCATTTCTAACAAGAACAGTTTTGCTTTATACAAAAAAATAACAAAAATCGATGGCGGCCTTGAGATGGCTAACAAGGTACAAAACACAAACTCTTCAAACCTGTCTTCCCTCACACTCCTGTTTTAATAATTTACTCAACATTTGCATGGTTATCACAGAGCTTATTTTAAGGAGGTGCTGAAGCTGACTATAGTATAAATGATGGAACATCTAAATAATTGATCACAGGAATAAAAGACAGGTAAAGTCCACATCTAATACTGTTTTCTATTGATTCACTAAAAGGGGCTCTGTGTTCTTTGTGTGAGACAATACTCACTGTTGCCTTGTTTTTTTGTACAGGAATAACAATTGCTTTTCTGACAATGTTTCCATGTTCTCTTCCTCCCTCACCCTCGTGTTCTCTGTCAGGTTTCAGACAGAGGAGGAGAGAGGTGTTGTGGGAGTCCAGCAGTCCTCCGGAGACCTGCCCTCATTTGGTGGAGTCTATCCCCTGTGAGGATCCCGCCTGCTACCTGTGGACGGTCCAACAGGAAGAAAGATGCATCCCCAATAACAGCTCCTGTGGTCCGGGATCTGCAGCCCGGAATGTGACCTGTATCAGCGCTGAAGGTAAAGATAACGATTTGTATCATAAAGAAATAGGTAACATAAAAATGGAACTGAATAGTTTTTTTAATGGTAGTTTAATGTGGCACTCTTTCAGCTAAAGCCTATCAAAAGGAACATTATTGATTCTTCAGGAAGCAAATATTTTTGCTTTGTTGTCCAGAGTCTGATGACAACAATAACACAAGTTTTTCTTTTGTTACTTTTGACAGAGCCAGGCTAGCTATTTCCCTTAGTTTACAGTCTTTTGCAATGCTAAGCTAACCTAAACCAACCTAGGCTAACCACTTGGTATAAAAAATAACAGAGAAATTAAAGTGGTATCAATCTTCTCTTACCTTCTCCGGCAGTGAAGATAATTTTCAAACCACATAAAATAAAAGTATTCCCTACACATTAAAAGGTCATCAATATTTTCTGCTCAACTCTTAGCCATATGCCATTCGTTCGTATAGTCAAAATATTGTTCTACTGACGGATTACATTGATTTTTGTCACCCTCGGTTTTGATTAAATGATTAGTATTATAGCTCCATGTTTGTTTCTGTCACTTTAAAAGGGTGATAACCACAGACTGCAACAGTATTTAGACTAGAGCAGTAAAATCATCAATGCTGTGGTAAAGGAACGGGAAGTTATCAGTAACACTGTCATGCATGTACTCTCAGGTATAATTTGATCCATTGTGCTCAGACGTGTCCTCGCGGTGCGTGATAGGAACATCAGCGCTAACGAGGCCCGCAATATTCATGAGGGTCCATCACCGAGTTTATGGGCGCAGACAACATTGGCCTGATTAAAAGTCAGAATCACAGCTTCCTACCAGGCTTTAATTGCTCATCTCCATAGATTATAAACCTAATTGCACTCTTTTTTGCCTCTGTTTTATTATTCTGTCACAATGGATCATGTGTATGTTTATCAGGAAGGCAGCGGAGGGTCCACATTTATTAGCAAACAGGAGAGTCTAATGAGTTTTGACAGGACAACCAAGAATTCAGGCTTTGGCGAGTTTGAGGCAAAGGCTTATGAAATTATCTGCAGCGGATTTATTGTTAGAGATTGTTGACAAGTTGTTTAATTTTGCTTCTTCAATTGGTTTATTAGACTCACCTTTCAAGCATGGCGAGTTATTTTCACATAAACGTCACATAGGTGTCAAGACTAGATTGTTAAGTAATGCAAGTTAAACGTTTACTTTGAAATATTGGTTACAGTTGGTTCTGTATCCTGTTAAACCCCAATTGAAGGAGTCCAATACCATTCCAAAACACTGTCATTACCTTGTTTTATTTCCATCCTTAAGATTTACTTTAAAAAAAATCATACTTTTAATTTCTACTCAGACACTATACTTTGAGTTTATTTTAAAATATGAAATGGCTGTTTTGTATCATTTGATGAGTACATATTGTTGTAGAAATTAAGCATCTTGCAGTTTGTTTTTACAGTTCCTCTGGTAAAATAATGAGGAAAGATGTTTGGCCTGAAGCAGATGTCGTGTTGACGATTTTACACTGCTAATGGTTTCAATTAATTATTTTCAAATAAAATGCACCATCTTCATGCCCATAACTCCTACTAAAGCCTAACAAGTATACTATTTTTCAAGTGTTTTCTTTACTAAAATGAATGATGAACCGATGTAAAAAACAAGGATCAGACTGTGTGACAAGTTGCTATGATTATTATTTTAAGATTCTGTTTTCTGCTTGACATATAACATCCATAGACCTCTGAGAAAGCACTCGCTAATTGCTAGTCTGTCCCTACATCCAGACTCGACACAAAGCTCTCCCTTTCAGCCGTGCCACAACAAGAGAAGATGGACCATTTGTCTTTGTTATACTGAAATGTTGGAAAAAGGCAGAAATGCTTAGTTACTGCTAAAAAGTTCAAGGTTCTAAAAACACTTTTAAGGTCAGAGATTATTTAAAGCTGCAGAACAACATATTCCCAATATCAACACAAAACAACCTTTATCATATATATATATATCAAATATACATCTTACTGTATACTGTATAAAAAGAACAGTTCAGCACACAGTTGAAATAAGTTTGACCTGCCCTTCTCCCACTCTCCTCTCATCTTAAGTCTCAGGGTGAATGATGAATACAAACAGCTAAATAAAGAACACAAAAGCAACAAAGAACTGACCATGGCGGCCACTTCACATGATTACTACCATATTCTCAAAATATAAACCAGAACAATCTGAATGCCACAATAACTCTTTTTCAGTTGTGAAAGGGCTGTTTTATGACAAGAAAAAAGGACATGCACAAAAACCTGTATAACACACTACAGGAAAGGAAAACCAGAAAAAACAGAAAAGGGCCTATTGAATTACTTTGGGGAAATATTAATTACAGAAAGATTTACAGAAAGATTTGGTGGGTATTAGGTATCAAACATTCAATGCATTAATATTATTCTCATAGAAATGACATAGAACAGATCATTTTAGTAAAAAAAGAATTGAAAACTTGAAACAGTTAGAATTGTATAAGGATTAAAATGACAGATTTAACTGAATACACTGTTTCAATTGTAACCAATGTTTGTTAAAACAAGTGTTTTAAAACCCCACTCATCTTGGATACTTTTAGCCACAGTTTCATTCAAAATTAAGTTAAACTAACGACTGTCCGTGGATTGGTAATAGCTTTATCTTCTAAACTTTATGTCCCTGTGGTGGGATTTCTGTGAAGAGTTTTAAATAACATGTTACAGTGTTTCACAGTTCTTTGGAAAGAGCAGTGGGAGTCTGAAGCTGCTCCGGCAGAGATGTGTAGACTGACAGTGGAGAGTAAAGTACCTGCATACACAGGCACTGTTGGCTGCTCGGCTTCAATCAATTTCACTTCCTGATGCTAAAAAAAAAAAGATGACAAGATAAGACAGGTGGAGAGGAGCGAGAGACAGGAGAGGAAGAAGTGACATTCCTGCCATGATAAAAGGATTGTATACCATAATCTGATATGATGTCAGGAAGCATCTGTGATTTGTGTGCGTGTCAACATATTAGTATAGAAGCAGCTTGCCTTCTAATCCTCCAAACAAATCAGCTGGCCTGTCTTTGTCTGGAGCTATGTTTGAGAGCAGTCACAGATGATTCAGCTGGAGTTCAGAGCTGTTTATGGATAAGAAGGGAAAGTTCTCTGGGAAGAATAAACAGAAAACAGAACCTGTTTGCAATCCAGCTCATGTAGGCTTGCCCTGTTTCTCAGAGGAAATCTCGAAATAAGTCAGTCGCTCAGTGTCCCGCATCTTCAGCCACAGCTTGTTCTCTTATTCACGTAAAGTCTGCTTTATGCTCCATTCATCCAGCGTGTGGAGTTTTAGATCGTAACCACTGGAGTCATTTACCTCACTGTGTGGTCAAGAGTGGCTGAATATTTATTAGATTTTAAGTCAAAGTGTTTTAACATGGCCTTTAATGTATGCTTTTCATTTCATTGTGCTTGCTCTCTGTGTTCTACTATGTCTTCCACTTCCTTTTAGATGAGTTGTAGTTGTTTTGAATTGCTCTATAAATAAAGCTAATTGTCTTAAATGATGGGACTCACCTTAGGCGCGTTCACACCGCAGTACTTTTCCCACTTTAGTTCCGATATAGTTCCGAAATGTTGCGTTCACACCATAGACTGGTTCACACCAAAAAGAGCCGGAACTAAAATTAGTTCATGAGAACCTTTTCACCCCCTTTTCCGTCCCTGCTAGAGAGCAGGTACTTTCGTGGGAGAAAAAGGTTCCTATGTCTGATTGGCTGGGTGGATTGCAAACCACGCCCCGTAAAACTCCCAAAAAGTTTTGTGAAGCCGCCATTTTATTATCCTCGCATTAGCATTATTAGCATTAGCATTAGCCCAGCGCACAAACACAGAGAGACTAACTTATGGCAACACAAAAAAAAACATGGGAGCGGTGGAGATGAGGAGGTGTCGGCGTTCTGGCGATTTACTCGGAAGCCAGTCCCCAACTCCGGGGACTTCCGGCCGGGGACTTCGGGTGGCAGTATACGCTGTGAAGTTGTTTGCGGCCTGCCAGTAAACTCAAAGCAGAAGAAGAAGAAGTGACGTCAGTGGCTTCATTTGCCTAATCCTCCCCCAGGGATTTATTCTGGTGTGAACGCGATCTGCTCTTAGTTCATGAGAACTAAAGAGTTCTCATGAACTAAGTTCTGATGAACCTTTGTGGGAAAAGTACTGCGGTGTGAAAGCGCCTATTGGCTGTTGTCCCCACCAAACACAATGTGAAATGGTGAATTCTGAATGTTGAAATCCTTAACCAGGCACTTTGTTGTACATTTTCGCCTGCAATAAATATAACTGCTCTCAGTTCCTCTCATGAATTGCTGAGGGCCGGCACATGTGGAAAGGTCAGGCTTTTCTTGGCTGACAACATTGTTCGCCGTCCTTTAGTTTAGAAGGTGCTCCATTAGGACCACGCTTTTATGCCCTGAACATAAAAACTGCTGACCTTTTTTCAATGGTTCAGTTTATTGTCAGTGTGTATTGAGTCACTTGGAGCATGGGGTTCACAATGCTCCCAGTGTGCAGCCGCATTTGATAGATATTTCATGAAGATATTCCAAAGAAAAACAAATGCTGTGAAAATAATTTGTAGATGTGAAAATATATTTACACCAAAGTGGAATGGGCAGGAACCGTTTAAGCCTGTGAACTTCAATGAACAGTTTCCTCCACTTTACTCCTTGATTGAGTGAGCATTTATTTTCCAGTTTCTCAGCATAAAACTACTCTGCATTTCAAATCTTAAAACACCTTTGAAGCTGTCAGGGAAAGTGTATGCCTTTTGAAGTGGGAGAGACGGCACTTTCCCGACAAAGTTTATCTGATGGGGTTTAAAATATTATCTATGGCTGCTCAAGCAATCAGAAAATATCCTCTATCACTCACAGCCTGGCTTTTATTGCTCAGGAAATACATGAGGTAATTCCTAAAGCCCCTCAGGTATGGATTAAATGGTGTTATTTACTCTTTCAGATCTTTCGGCTCTCAGTAAATGAGACTGTTATTACAGTATGTTAATACCATGGGGGATTGTACTTTTGATCTAATTATAAGACTTTTAATATCCTTTTTTTGTTATTTTTCATAGCTTTGTTGCTTTTTCTATTTCACTGCAATTGCATTTTCCAAATTATTTCAATATATTTTGCATAAACCTTGCAATATTCTTGTGAATAAGTACTTTTCAATGAGTCAAATTAAGCTGCATGTGCACATTAGCATTTGATTTGTCTGTTTACAAAGGCAGGTGGCAGGAGAAAGATTGAACACTCATGTTAAGAAAAACACAATAATCACCCTTATTCTAATATTAGCGTGGCTAGGGAGTTGCCTCTCATGCTGTCTTTGACAATTGTTGCAAACTGCCATAAAATAATATGGCATCTCACACAGGGAGGCTAATGGGCGCTTTTTGTATTCCCTTAACGTTATTGGGCTGTAAACTACGTCAAAGAAAGAAAGAAAAAGTGCTGTGTTCGCCGGACCCGATGCATTTTCTGCCCTCAGGCTTGGTGAAGTTGTTTTGACAGCTCCCACAGCTCCCACTCTGCACAGCCAACAGTAGAAGTCAGTCCCATTTCCCAACACTAAGCACACACCACGGGGCATGCTGACTCCAACATATTGGGTGCACCTGTGACTGACAGCTGACATAGATGAATGTTGGCCAATCTTCCCAAACATACTGAGGCTCTGACATTTGTAAACCCAATATCCCAGCAGCACTGAATGGTAACCATCAGCCTCAACTGGTCAATATTACTCGATGAATATACTGTAGGAAAGCAGCACTAAACTTTGCTGTGAGACTGAACTTATATGATTGACAGGCGAAAACATAAATTAGTGACCCAGGCTACTTTGATCTCATAGTGATTTTCTACAATTTCCCTATTTCACTGCCAGCTTTGTCTTAAAAAGTGATGTGATTATGAACTTTTAAGCAAAGGCGAGAATTTTTTCTACATCTACCTGAATATTAACAATGATGAAGATTAATTGGTAGGTGGGCGAGCAGAATGGGAATCATGTTGAAATTGCATGCAGTATTATATCTGAGTAAGAGCCCCAACTACAGATCCCAGTATTAATAATGCAAAAGGACCCCTAGGGCAGCCATCTATTTGCAGAGTCCTTACACACACATGTAGTCTCACACACACACAAATACACCAGTGTATAAGGAGTCATGTTTTCATTCCATTTTTCTTTAGGCACTGTTTCCAGGCAAGTCGTTTGTTAGTTTTGTTTGCTACCATATTCATTAGTCCTTTGTGACTCTCAAGCAGAACATTTGTTTAATAATTACTCATTTGTCCACTGTTGGCAATAATACATCTAAATAATTCCTTAAAAACAGCCTAGAGCATAAGGAAACCTGACATTTTTTCGCATGACATAACAGCGTTGCATATTCTTCTGCACATTTGTTTATGGAACACCAAAAGTATTATTATACATACAGTATGTCAAAATAGCTTCCTATAATTTTGCCTCAGTAAGGAGGCTTAGCTGAACATAGGGTTTGTATTCTTGCACACCCCTTTGTGCACTATTGTGTGAGGCTCTGGCTGCCTTCTGCTCTTCTTCTGGCAATGCGTTTTGCTGAAACAATAAGTCCATTCAACAGTATTGTAGCGGCTATTTGGCTTAACAACTGCTACCATGTGTTTGCAAATGGGAGAAAGAGAACTAACCCGTCGTGTTTTGTTCTGTATGCAGAGTATTAATTAAAAACAATTAAAATGGACATTTAATTTGCAGCTCATGCAGGGAATAGTGGCTATATGAATCGTTTGTATCTCATAGCTTTGAAAAAAATAGGAGTCTATGTTTCCTGGAGGATTTCACATGTAAAAAGCACACATTGAGTAGCCTTGGATATGCCATTGTCCAATGTACATGTTATGTTTATGTTTGTCTCTTTTGTTTGTTTCTGCTATGTCCTGAATTATGAAATGTGTTGCTTGGTAGCTTATGTTACCCTCATGTTTTTTCTTAATATATTATTTAGATGTATTTTTTTAGAACCAGTATTTTTGAATGGCATTGATTTGACAATTCATTATATAATACTATGCTACCTTAAAGACATTTATTTGTATGGTATCAATTTGCAGCAAACAATTATTGTCAGAGTTACATAAATGGTAAAGTAAGGCTTCAATTATGATTATTTTTGGATATCCTACCTGAAAATAATCGTTTCGACATCTCTGTTCTTAGCGTACACTTGGAAATATTCTTCAAGCATTCCTTGATAAAGGTTTCATTTAAGATTACATTTTCAAATTGGCAATTCCTATTACTTTCTTTTATGCTCACATTCAGGGGTCCATGCTTTATACACCTGAAATAATAACCTGGTGGGAGCCATGCTGAGCAGAGACAATAGATTTGCCTCAGCTAAAAATCTCACTTCCAGCTCAAAATAATTATGTAAAGTATCAGTCAAATTCATATTCAAGTGCAGCTGCCTCCAGATCTTTGCTCAGCTGGTAATGTTGGAGATGTATAATTATGAAGATTATTCACTTCCGGAAATGTTCCATGTAATGTATTATTGCACTTTATAATACTTACTCCATCGTGTGCTTCTGAAAAAGTCTCACTTCCACAAAATGCATCAGCTCTTCTATTGTTATTCTTATGTCTACTTACTTACAAAAGGACTAATGCTTCCCACACAGTATCCTTTTGGGACTTCCCCACATCTTCAAGCAGACTAACATCTCTGGCTGTATACACACCAGTTACTTTGATGGCTGGACGTCTCTGACGCTTTAACTTCATGAGTGAAAGGTTTTCAAACTCCCCAAGGGAGTATTTCCCATCTGTCTGATGAGGCGACACCAGCGTTTGCTCTCTCCACTGCCCTCCTCTGCATCAAGGGTACTCGCTCAGAGAAGAAAGAAAAAAGAGAAATTGATGACAAATCTGCCCTGGGGTTGTTATTGTTAAACCATATAGCATGATGTAGTGGCAGGGTTCATCCAAGTTAATGATACTGCGGTGTGTATACAAAAACAATGCTTCTGCTGCTGCTGGCATTGTTTAGACATTAGGATGACATCCATGTTTCTGAAATTGATCTGATTCTCTCTTGGGCAGAGAGACTGTCTAGAAATATGTTCAAGTCTGACAAAAATACAAGGGATGTTTTTGTTTTTTACCAAGGGAATTAATGTGGGAATATCTAATTTCAGTGTTTAATTAGACACTGAGAGAGTCATTATCACGGCAGTACAGTAAGGAGAAAATGCTCTGTCATGTAGCTGTTTCAATCCTGGAAGCTGTGATAAATATTTAATAGCATGACTGCAAGATGAAAGCTGAAGGATAGCTTTTAGAACTAGCTCAGAATACCAATTGGATGGTCTGATAATTTTCTTTAGACAAAATGAAGTTCTATTTTTGTTTGACACAATTTTCCTAACGCTCAAAAAGGATTCCTGCCTTCGTTTGTTTTGAATGAAAGGAAATGTGTTTCTTTTTAAACTTCTAAAAGGTTTTTGTACATTGCAAACCCTTCCAAAATAGAAGAAAAACTCATTATCACCACAACAAATAGTAATATCTGAGTCTTACACTTGTTACTAATAACAACCACCTAAGCCTCTTACACACCTGCATTATCATGTTTTCATATTTAGATTGTATTTAGATTAAGCCTGATTATGTTTACGCCTGGCATCAACATTGCTACAATGAGATCCCATCATCTATTTCCATGCCACGACTGCACACCTCTGTCTGCACATTCCTCTATACCCTGACAGAAAATGGTAAACAACTGAAACCCTTGACAAGCAGAACATGTCAGAGAAGTGGTACTCTGTGTGAACTCCATTTACACTATGTTTCAAGGTGATAAGAATAAAACCGACCTCCTCTCTAGATTTTGACCTAGCCTTTTACATCTGTTATAATGTTACACTTTGTCTGTGCTTCTGATATAACCTTGCATCCTTTACCTGAATCAGGATTTGAAGCCTTTTCTGATTGCTGTCTGATAAGGTCACGATGCATGTAGTCTAACTGGTCTAATCATGATTTATATGGAACCCATCTCAATTTCATCTATCCTGTCTTCCTCAGGGGAGGATGTGCCCGTTGCTCACTGTGTAGACGACCACCCCCCCACAGCAGTGTCCTGCGAGGTGGCCTGTCCTGCAGACTGTGTGGTTGGCCCCTGGTCATCCTGGTTACCCTGCTCACACAGCTGTGCCACCAAGACAGCCGAGGGTCGACAGAGCCGCACTCGCACTGTGCTGGCCATCCCAGGGAACGGTACTGCAACTTCTCCACAGTTTCTTTCAAACCCTTTTCCACCGGAAAAATACAAGACTTTAGGTGGGAGAGGAACACATTTTTACATGCAGTTTAGTAATTCTCAGTTACATTTAATATCTACACTACAGTTATACTGCTCATGGAAGATTAAACAGGATATTTGAGCACAACTTGGTTGATAAAACAGGTTTATTACTTAAGGGGAGCCCCATCAATTATTCACATCATTTTCTTTTTTTAAAGATATTCTTCAAGCCAAAGAACGCCTTAATTAGAGTTATACGGGTGAAAGGGGGAGGCCTGGGAGTCGAACTTGCATAATTGACAGCAGACGGGACGCTAACTCTAAAATACAGCAGCCTACAATTCATGGGAAGTAATACTAATAAATTGCAGTTAATGATGTAATTTTAGGTTACATCTCCAACTGAACTGCCTTTGGTCATGTTGCATTATGGTTAATTTAGGCTGCAGATTTTGGCAGGAGTGCAATGCTAAATCAGGGGCATACTCTTTTTATTACCATCTGTGGTACAGATAATAGATTGCAGGATCCATGATAAATTGCCACTTGGATGAGTCAAAACTAAGAAACCTAAAGTTCAACTTGGCAAACAAAAAATAAAAGTGAATTGAGCCAAAGAGTGCTTCACCAACAGTGGGATTATTTGGGCTTTTATTTCTGTCGATTTAGACATTTTTCATCCTAAAAACATTTGAGTTGACCATCCATTATCCCAGGGTCTTTCTCTGGCCGGTATTTTTGTTGTACTTCAAACGTTGGCATCTTTGCAGCTAGCTGCTACCCATTAATCCCTGTAACCAAACGCCTATCTGCAGGAGCAGCTGATGAAAGAATCTTGCAGCTTAAGCCGTGTTTCACACTGGGTTGTTTAATAGCATGTTGCTGGCTATCTGCTTGCTGGCGGAGGCATGTGTGTGTTTGTGTGAATGTTTGCTGTAATTTGGTTTATATGCCTGCATGTTGCGTGTCAGTGTGGAAGAGCTGGTGGATAGGAAACAGACTGGAGGGGGCAGTTGGTTCAGTGACAAAGTCATCCTCGCCCCTTCTGTGAGTCACAGTTCACTTTAGTGCACTTACGCCTCTGCAGATGACACCTCTGATGCTACTCCTAGAGAACTGTCCCTTGTTTCACCTCTATGTAGATTGGACAGATCCCAACCAAAGTGGTCCCAAGTATATTGTTAATAAATAACCCCCACCCAATGTGTACTTGTGCTCTTTGTGCTCACATTTACATTAATGTGTATGTGACACATCAATATGTTAATCCTTTGGATGATGTGATCAGTTGATCTTAAAACAATACTTTATTTCGCCCAATACGTACACATTAAAAAGAAGGGTGAGATCTGAAATGACACATTAGGATTTAAAAACCTATGAAATAAAACAAAAAGTAAAAAAATTCAAACACAGATCATTTTTTTAATTAAAAACACATTAAATTACGAATGACTTATTTCCACAGTAAAGGACTGCTCAATTACCACATATTTGCACATTTGTTACTTCTATACACTACATGTGAGCGTTCACCTCAGCATGATCCTATTGAACTGGCGATGTCACCTTTCTACAAATGGAGAAGGTATGAGTCACTTAGGAGGTGATTATAATGTCTCACTGTGGTGATAATTTGCTGTGTAAGCCAATCAAACAGCCATTTTGAGTTTAAATACAGAACAGTATAGTATGTTTTCAAACTAGACTAAACTAGAAACGTGACTAGATATATGGATCAGGATACAAGTAGCAGGGGCTAGAAAAAGCAGTGGGATTGTGGGAAGTGTTTGCATTTGCCTGTTCATTCTGTTCCAGTAACCTTACTGTCACTTTTCATTTGTTATACAAACTTGTTGTAACTTGTAAAGTGTCTGCTCAGCTAACCCGGACAAACATTTGTTTTGTAGCTGTGCAGCCAGCGGTCAATGATAATATTAGCATTTGACTTCCAGCTGCTAACTGCAGCCTGTTACTTTAGAAGAAATGTATTTTATATTCAGTGCCAATCACATGCAATCTGCATAATGATGCTGCTTTTTTAGAAGGGCATGAGCAGTTGCAGCTTGTTCGTAAACACAGGAAAATCCTAAAATACTCAGCAGTTATAGAGTCACTCATTAGTGTTCATGTCTGTGACTCTGTGGTTGTGTCCTGTGTTCCGGTGCCCAGAGGGGAGGGGGTGTCCTGCAGCTCCAGCCCTGGAGGAGTGGAGGGTCTGCAACGACCACCCTTGTATGATGCTGTATTGGGAGGCGTCAGCGTGGGGACCCTGTATTGAGGATTCCCCCATGGACCTCAATGGAACCAGCTTCCTGAACGGGACTCCCACCTGTGCCATGGGGGTTCAGATCCGCAAAGTCAGCTGCATAAAGACGAGCGTTGGACCTGTCACAAGTAAAAGGTAAACTCTCTGACCTTAGCCAATTACTAGTGTGGTATTGCAATAGAGTGGTGCATTGCAAGGGCTTCCCTAGACTCAAATACATTTAGTGATGGATATGGGTTTTATAATATTGCAGAAAATAAGATCTGTGGCAAATAGAGATCTAACACAGTTTGTTCAGCAGGATAATCTCCGCATATTAACAACACTTTTGCGTAAATGCAACCCGACAGAATTAGATGTACCGTAATGCTATAAACACACTACATGGTGGTTGTATTACTTCTCATCAACACCGCTAAGTTAAAGGTGGACACGTGGTCTCCTTTTGACACTTAGCAATTTCCCTTTTTAAAGACACCTTCAAAAATTCCCAAGTGGGCTGTTTACTGACACGCTTTATTTCAAATGAGAAAAAGTATAAATCATATAACAAATTGTGTAAACCTGTATTAACACCCTATTGTTATTATTGCAGAGCCTGCCTTTGAGACAAAGCTGCCCAAAAATGCTACGATACTAACTCATTTCTGGGTTTAGGACTCATTCCTGCAGCAATGTACTGTATATGTTCTTCAATTCTATATGTTAGCATATTATCGAGTTTTTGCACATACGTTCAAACATGCAATGATTTTTTGAACGAGGTGAGATGTGTTTTCAGGGCAGCACTCTGTCTTTACAGCTTAATGTGGTGGGCATGTCGTTGCAGGCATGTTTTTCAGGGTCTGTTGAGAGGTGAATCAATAACTTCTCTCCTTTTTTTCTCCTGTTACCTTGGGATGGTGTTGAGCCGGTCTGCTCACACAGTGTTTGCATTACTGTAACACTTGACTTTTTCCTCGCCGTCCTTTGTCACGACAAGCTTTGTGTCACTTCAGATCTAGTTGTTGTAAGCATTGAGTAGGTGTTCTTTTTTAAATATGTACTGATGGTAAATAAATGTAGTTTCAGCCCACCAGAATCAGTGTTTCCCTACTCTGAATAACTCATAACATTGTCTTGTGCCAGATTGGCAACGGGATATTTTCTTCTTCTGTCCTTATATGACACAGCTACTTGTTTTAGATACTAGAAAATGGGTCCCGAGAGAAACAAACGATAAATGATGAGTGAGGAGTAAAATAGCTTTGTGAAATCTGAGGGAGGAGTTGAGATGTGATCATAGTTCTCTTCAAAGAAGAATAATTTATGATTACAGATTCCAGAAGTGTCTCCCTTAAAGATATTGTGTGTGCTCTTACTTACTGACAAATGACCCAGAGGATTTGATGCACTGTGAAAACACATCCCCAGAGTTTTGTACATGAAGCTCTTCAGTTAGGTTTTCTGCCTGTGTTCAGGATTCTTTTTGTGAACCTGAGATCCATTTAGCTTATGCTCCACCATTATCTACTCCTCTTTCAGCGATACAATATCAAACACTGCTAAGGGCTTTTGTGCTGTCACTGTAATGATGTTAGAGCCCACACCAGGAAGATGGATTTATAAATAATTCACAAAGTTTGCCCTTCTTTAGCGCAATATATTATTGACAGGGCCGTAAAGTGGATTATGGAGAGGCTTTTTTCTTATGAACGTCCTATCTCCCAGCACAGAGGCTTTAATGAATGCTGTCAATTCTGCTCCACCAACACATCTCGCCTATACAGTACGCTGGGAAGTCAATCACTTCTTTGCTATTCATATATAATGGCAGAGTGTCCATTTAATGGAACAGCATCCGATGCATATATAACTATCCAGTCAGTTACACCGGAACAGGCCTTTCTGCTGTCTTTCCATAATGTGCAGTGTGAAGACATAATCAGGGTGTCCATATAGAACAGCATATATCTTGTATAACTTCCCACGCTTCATATGATAAGATAGTTCTCCAGTTGACAGATACACTATGATAGCATGGACTGAAAAAGGACCACACAGGGATAAACAGGAGCGTTCAGACTCCGTCATTTCCAGTGCTTCATTCCTCCTTTATCTCAGAATATGTCTAAAATAATGTGTATAATTACTACCAAATACTTCCCATCAGAAGGAGATGGCCGCAGAATATATTTGATGTTTTGATACTTTAAAAGGGTCACTTCTGTCAGCAAACAAAGAAGTATTTCCTTCTTAGCAACAATCTCCATGGGCACACTGGCTCAATGAATTAGTGGGTCTATCTGGTTTTTAGTTTATAGCCCCCAGTCATCACATAATATTGATTTTGAAATGTAATTTTCGCTCCCCTTTGTTTCAACTAAAATAACTAACTATAGCTTTGGTTATAATAACATGTTGTATTTTGCATGGGTACTTATTGTACGGCTTTTCTATGGCTGTGCACATAACCTTTTACATTTGATTAGATTAGTAAGGAAAAATCCTAAGAAAAACATGTAATATTATTAATTGTTTATGTTAATTAATTGATGTGTAGATGCTGCTGTAAGTTGCTGCGTAAATTAAATTAGTATTAAACAAATGGTTAAAAAGACTCTTATGGCCACATTGGTGCCATAGTGTTTCATATGAATACACATATTTGTTTAACTGTTAAAGTAAAAAAGACATGCATTTGATAGAAATGATTGGAAATAAAACTATTCATTGCTTTACTAATGCCCCTTTTTGATATTACACATTATAAGTTTCAGTGTTTACTCATTTGCCTTCATAATGAAATGGCTTTTTTTCCAAACAAATGCATATAAATGTGCATAATTAATCAGAATATCTTCTTCTTGATTCAAATAAACATTTCATTGATTGACAACCTAACGTTTTGGATAAAAGAATACTGCAATGATAATTGTAACTGATAACATCAACACTCATTGAACTTAAATGACCAGAAAAAAACATTATTATTAAACAATATCATTCTATATTCAAATATTTTAAGGCCAGGTTGTTCTTAAGTATATTCAGAGTAGACAGAGCATATCAGGTTGAGCTGGTATTTGATTGCATATATAATTATCATGACTTCCTGAGGGACATTTAATGTTTCCAACCTTGTCACAGTCAGACTGCATGGCCTCACTGTAGGTCTGACTCTCTTTCTTGGCGTTCTGCACAGTATTCCCCCAGATGCTCCGCTGCGTTGCCATGCCCTCTGGCATGCATCTCTGCAAAGAGGGAGAGAGAAGAAGAGGGATAAATCTGAGGAAGGATGGGGTTTTATGTATCATGCCTCCTTATACTTTGGCATACTTTGATCTCATTCCTGTGCATGCTGGCTCTCTGCGGTTAGTGTGATGTGGCACCATGCTGGGTCTCTAGTGAGACCTGGATCTGGTTGTCAGGGCAAAGAAAGTCATTCACTCTGAAACAAAATTGTGTTGTCTGTGTCGCTGTGCGTGTTCCTGTGTGTGTCTGTGTCAGAGTTCCCGTTAGAATAATTATTTGCCGGTCAACATGTCCGTTACAGTTTAAATCTTCCGGACAAAATTAGAAAAGTGCCGGTCAAAGGTCTTCTATGTTATTTATTGAGCTTTGAAACAAATTGATATGATTCGATATTAAACAAACTAATTATAGTAGATTAATTAACTATTCAAACGTGTACAGTAATTTACAATAACACGGGAATAATAAACGGAGCGCTCTCCCCCTCTCCTGACAACCCGCCAGTATCATGCAGCTCGCGGATCCAGTAATGAGTGACCCGACAGTAAAACTAAACATATCTATAACTAGTTTAGGTAGTTTGAGAGGTAATTAAAATAGCTACGTGTGATATTCTAACCTGAAGTGTGTGTTTTGTTCCGCTCACCGCTGCAGGTGATCATGCAGAGATGCGTGTCGACTCGTCAGCAGCAGCTGATCTCTCCCGTCAGATTAGACTTTACTCGCGTTTATGTCCATATCGATCAGATCTAGCTAGTTCTAGCTAATGATATGACTACCTGCTTATTAAAAGACACCTAATTAAAAGACACCTAAACAATAAGCGTCGCTATGCAACCGGGTGAGGCCACAAAGTATAGCATTATACATTTGTTTACATGCCCACCGGAACCCAGAGGCATTACCAACAGATCAACGCACAATCAACCCATACAGGACATCTCTTTCTCCACATTAAGTGTAGACATTATAATTGACTATTCTTGTCTGTCACATACTCTTTTGTCTGTCACATACTATTCTTGTCTGTCACATAAGTGGCGCAACTGATGCGGTATTGCGCTAAGGGGAAATCATTTTGACCGGACATTTTGACCGGAGAGATTTAGATTTGCCGGTCTTCAGCATATTTTACCGGTCATAGTCCGGTAATTACCGGCTAACGGGAACTCTGGTCTGTGTGTTGTTGGTGGGGATGTCTTCTGCTTGTTGATGAACCCATCAAAGCTCAAGATTTAACATAGCTGCATTAATCCACACATCCTCATGTTTGTACAACGTGCCAAATACAACACAGCCAAAAGCTCCATTACCTATATGGAACACAAGACATAGCAGCTTATAATAGAGAGGAAATACGTGATTATTTTCTATCTTGAGACAAACAAATTGGTAGAGGTCTGGTAAGAGCTCTTTAAAACCTGGTTATAGTGTCCTTGGTATAGCAGGAGTGATTAATTGGTAAACAGTTTGCATATCCTCACTTTTCTCAGGTTTAATTAGCAGCCGTGCTGTGGACGTTGATTGATTTTCCTCCCAGAACACTCTGTCTCCTTGGTGGCAGCAAAAGACTTCTGTGGCTGCTCTATGCGTATATGAAGAGATAAATCCACTCACCAGGTTTCCCCTACTTTAGCTACACGAGTGGCATATTATCACATTAAGAAGTTTATATATGTTAGCAAATGAACTATTCCTGTATCAGACACAACAAAATGTGTTGGAAAATCTTCGTTCAACAAGGAAACATGCTGGCTGGGATATGTGTTTACAATTGAGAACTATAATCAAGATCAGTTTTAATTTCAGATAAACCTTAGATACATCTCAAGTGTTTCTTACGGCTTGTATCAACCAGGGGATAATTCTCTATGAGTTTGTCCACAAGCCACACATTTTGTGTGCAACCTTAAGATAACTTGGCTTTAAAAGTAAACAAATCATTTTAGTTGTGTGCTTGAATGGCGGGAGGATTTTTCTTTTCATAAGGCATTCTTTGTGCTCTGGTTATCAACTGAATGTGAGAGAAAGCTGCAATTTTTTATATTTTTCTTCCTTTTTTTCCTGAGAGTGCAGGCAGGGGGGGGGGGGGGGGGGGGGGGGGTGGGGGGCATGTCATCAATTATGTTTTCCGTGGGGAGATGTGTGATGTCAAGGACAGGGCAGTAGTTTCACTGCACTGTCCTGTTAACAGCGAGACCCAGGACATTTATCATTTATCGCCTGGGGAGTGAAGGGGATTTAAGACCTCTGTTTGTCTGCATGTTTAGGTGCTCAGATTCTGCTCGTCCACAAACCGTCCGGCCCTGTTTGCTCCCCTGCAAGACAGACTGCGTTGTTACACCCTTCAGCGAATGGACGGCCTGCCCATCAACCTGTATGCCAGGTAGCTCTCCTCATGCATTTATATGAACTCCTTTTGGTAATGCCTGTCTAACACATCAACAACAACACTTTTACACAAATCACTCCTCTATTCTAATATAAAAGTCCTCCTATAATTATTGGTAAGTATTGAAATGTTTTGAAAAAGGTTTTGTTTGTTCTTATTAAACACAAATGCTCTAGCTTTTCAAATGAAGCTTTCAGATCTGATATATGATGACGTTATCACTCTAAAATAATTGAAAGAAAAAAATGTATTCTTGTTCAATTGTGATCTTATACATTTGATTTATGGTGTTGTTAAATTGCTTCTAGACTGCACCATAAATACAGGTTATCTCTCTTTGTGTGTGACAAGCAGTGGAGCATTTTGTTTTCTGATCATGGTCAAAATGATGTTTACACCAGGGAATATGGATTGAAGCTGATAATGTTGTCACGTAAAAAAATGGTGTAGGTTTTAGCATCATTAGGTATTTTTATGAATCGATTATGACTTTTGAACTTCACAACACTCTTGGATTTATTGATAATGGGGTCAGAAACAATCTGAAACAGCCTCCAGTGGAATTTAGTCCTACACATTTACAGTATACAAATAGCATTAGTGTAGCCTCATGACCTGTGAAGACACACAGGGTTTAAACTGAATGAATAGAGAAGGAGCATTAAACGTTGATTCATACATTTGGGTTTCATTGTAATTAATGAAGCTTCAAACTATTGGGTATGGCCCTGGTAAATATAGAGTACTTCAAAATAGAGTAAATCAAAACCTACAGTAAGTGTACTGTTAATAGCACAACAACAATTACATATTTACAGTTACATACTGGTATGTTACTAAATATTAGAGCTAAAAATAGTATGATTATTTATCAGTAAATTGATACAAAAGCGATGGCTTACAATTGATTGACTGATTTATTCCAAAATTAAAAATATATATGTTTTCCTAATAAAACAAAAAATACTATTTAGCTCAAACAATTGATGAAGAAATTAAAAAAGTAATAGGCATACTAATCTAACATCAAAATAATAGTAAGTTATTCAGCATATACTTACATTTGTTGTGAATATGAGGCAAGCATTATTTAAATGCTGCTAAATACTCAAATGTCGCTTTACAAATATGCTCTCCCTTGACGTCTCCAGTGTGTTCAATAATCAAATTTTAAGTGTAAATGACAATGTTAACTGTCCATTACATTAAGCCGACACATGAAGAAGAAAATTGATTTTTAATGGGTTTCAATATGCGTACTGTAAGTATCATGGAAATAAAAAATAAAAGGTTTAATTGTTTTTAATAAGAATAAGAATTGAGCAGGCATCTCGTCTCTGTAAATATGCTCTAGTCCATTGGGTGCACTGATGATGTAATCACTGTCTTAATTGCACCATTTTCAATGTTTAGTAATTAGCGTTGTGTAATGAGCCTTGGAGCGTGAGCCAAATGAAGCCATTACATTGTGGTGTGTCCAAAAACAGACCGCAGTGAAGTGGAGGACATCACAGAAGGAGGGCCAGATAATAATCCAACTTTAAGACCTTACACTACACTGCTGATATTGTGTCGCCATTTATATAGTGTCCCAAACAACACAAGTCAGCCTTTTAGTCTCATTCCTTTCTCTTCCTCCTGGAAAACATTCATTTGAATACAACTGTGTAACTACTCTGCCACCTGATGCAGCCTTTTTGTGAAGATTGTGTTTCACGTTCAACAGGAAATGACACTGCTGCTACACAGTCTCGATACAGGACCATCATTCAGAGGTCTGCTAATGGAGGTCAAGAGTGCCCAGACACACTGTATGAGGAGAGAGAGTGTGAATCGCTTCCTGTGTGTCCGGACTATAGGTAAAAACACTGTTTAAACCATTTTTCTTTCCTATCCAAGGATAAGTTTGTCTGCTGTATAATAGTATAACTGCAACACAAGGTTGTTTTTTTCTCGGGTTTTTGATGGATACTTTAGCTTTTGACATACATTATCTCACAGCTTATAGTGTAACGTAACTACTGTTAAACATTGCTGCATATTTGTGCTTGTTCAGAAAAATTGTCAGATTGAAACGCATCAATTTCGGAAACCTTTCAACATAACATCATCATCTTTAAATCACACCTACAGTATTAGGAAAGGAATTGAATGACAGCTGTGATGAAAAAGCAAAAGACGGTCGTTTTGGTTTAAAACTATAGTAAAATAATATGTATGTTGCATATTGGTAAAAATATGGAAATCTAAATAAAACTCTGAAATGATAGGCTAACAACACCCAGCAGCGACTGAGAATTACATTTCTATAAAAAGCTGTCATATTTAATGTTGGAACGGGACACCTTTAGATATATATGTTTAACTTTGAGGGATTATATAATACTGATGGATGTATGTGTATTTGTATTTTACTGCTTTACACATTTAGGGTTGTGCTAACATAATATATTGTTTGTTAATTAGATCTACAGGAATACATTATACTATTTAGGATTATCATATGTTTATAAAGTATTGTTGTTTCCTGTGAGAACCATGTATCTTTCATGAGTTCAAAAAAACCAACCTGTTTTTAAATTTTGTGAATATGCATATCCAGCTGATCCAACATGGGTTTTACAGTTTAAGAAGTGGGACACTGTTCTCAACACACAAAGGAACACTTTATCCTTGTGAATATTCAGATTCAACTCTTCTGGACACCAGTCCTGATTTTTAAATGGACAGTGTGGGATTCAAAACTAAAATCTTTCTAGCTGTCAGAGATGAAGTAAAATGCCTTTCTAGATTGTTAATAATGACTTTCAATTATCAAATTATATTAAGGAGTTTATAAAAATATGTTTTAAAGTTTGAATGAATTACCAATAGTATCTATCAGTTCATTTTATTCCTGGCAGTGAAATTGAAAAGACAAGTAGGTGTTACAAGTAGAGTAACACCAAAATGTATCACACCTTTTCCTCCGGATAACCAATTACGTTAGCAGTGTGGCTCACACACATTGCAACATTTTTTTCATTTATTGCACCATCAGTGATGACACATGGCAGTTTCCCCTGCCTATATACAGTAAAGGTTGCACTGCATGAATGTGGTGCAGATCAATAATTATAAACCAAAATAAACAGAACAAGATTGGGCCATCCTTTACTTGCTGTGTAAATGAAGCTCCAAAAGCAGCCCACTGTCAACCCACAGTCTGTCTGTTTCCGTGCAGTTGGAGAACACACAAGTGGCACAGCTGCAGTTTGGTTCCAGAGTCTGTTCGCCATGGATTATCTGGACCGACAGAAGCCTGTGGAAATGGTCTGGAAACAAGAGGCGAGTGTTTTTCTCTTCTCTGCTATCATGCTCTGTACACTTGTCAGCTGCTGCCATTTTAAGCCTTGCTCCTCCATCTATTTACTTTCCTTATTTAATGAGACCTAATAGCCCTTTTCAGAACTGCTCCTTTTAACAAGCAAGTGATGGAAGCATAAAAGATGGAGGCAATTTGTCCAGAGAGTGTAACGAGATGAACCTTTCCGTCTGTTGTCTTGATGATCTCATCACGGCTCGAGTTTCTTATTAATGAATGCAGCAAGTCAGATGGCTACAAGCACATCTTCGCAGCAGGTTGACAAAAAACAATCAGCCGTGTTACACACTAAACAAACCATACATACAGACGTGGAGAAGTACTCACGCAATAAACTTTAGGAAATTGCATACAATAGTGCTCTTCCAATCGAGGCTTTTTATGAAATGATGAATATTTGCTGCACGGTTTCAGATTCTGGTGTCATAAAGTCGCAAATTAGCAATAAAATAACCTCTCAGTGAACACAATCCATTAATAATGTACCAGGATAAGAACAAAGCTGTAAACATGCATTATTCCTAATTAACAGAAAGAAGGTTTGTCACTTGTGACTTGTAAACAGTTGTAAGTGAACCTTGCTTCACCCGAAATGGATGCAAATCATTTTCTGGCAAACATTTCTACGCACCCACGTGCATTTTCCCAGCAAAATATGGGCACATAGACACGCATTAGTAAATTGCCACTTATTTTGTGGATTTAATTGCCTGTAGTTTCTTACCGTTGTCCAGCTGGACGCCTACAATATTTTTGTTTGCTGCGCCTGGAACTTTATTTGCATCCACCTGTATACATTTTTTTCATATGTCTTGTCTATGTTGTAATTGTACTATGTTTTTTTAACCTCTGTACACACATCTGTGTCAATCCTGGGAGAAAGATTGCGCAAAAGTCGCTCTCCCTGTTGTTTCTTACATGTTTTCCCATTAATTATGAGGTTGGAATCTTTCCTTGTCAGCATAAAGGGTCAAAGTACAAACAACCAGTGGTGGAAAGTATTCATATGTTTTACTTGAGAAAAAGAACTACAACCACACTGTAAAAATGCTCATTTTCAAGTACTGCATCAAAAATAGTACATAAGTAAAAGTATGATTAGGAAAATTAATGACATGACATATGACATATTTTTGAACAAAGAACGTATAGATTCCAATACATTTTTGTTCACCTTTTTTTACTTAAATATAAGGATGTATGGTATATATTTTAAGTTTTTTTGTGGTTTTCTTACACATTTTCTTAGTGATTGTGGATTGTAAAGATAACAATCTGCAATAGAACACACTGGTTGTACATGTACATTGCTGTACAATGCTTTGTATACAACATAAATACACACGGTGGAAACATATTATGAACTTGATTTCCTGGTACTTAAATATATTAAGTTGTTTTTCAGATGCACCCGTATACCTCACTGGAAATATAACAAGCTATTTCCAGGAAAACAAAGCTACAAGATAATTGCAAGTTTAGTTTTACTTGCTGACATTTAACTATTTCGTAAAACAGTTGCCTACGACATGGTTCCTGCTGAATGCAAAATACATGTTTGCATTGGGGGAAATGTTTCTCTTTTGTTATACAACTGATAATGATGTGCTGTTGCTGTTTGTCTGCCCCCATATTGCCTGAACTACATTACAATCATTACTGTTGGCATGATACAGTATAATAAGTATTCTCCAGTACTGTATCCCTGTGATTAACACCCCTGATTGAGTGTGCTCTGTGAGTGTTTGCTGTGTTGAGCGTCTTTTGGACTGTGCAGATAACTGCTCACTGTCCTTCACAAAGAACTGCGTTTTTTTTCTGAGTGGAGTTGGCAAATCGTTAAAGCACTAGAGTGTTAATTGGATCATTTCAGACTCGTTTAGTGGAGAGCAAAATGTCCCAATAAATCCCAGAAACTGGCTGTTCTATCTAATTTATTGGTGTGATTCAAGGGAAGTTTCCAGGGGCTGACTTTGCTGCCTTGAGAACTTTCTAGCATTTCACTTTCACTTTAACCTGGCAGTATAAATATCACTGACATTTCTCGAGTGAATTTCTATGACTTTTGAGTGAGGAGGAGGAAAGTGTCTGTAGTGTTCAGGTTAGGAGCAAGCCTCGTTGACCTTTAAAGCTTCCTATTTGAATATGATTAGAAAATGACTTAGTTAAATACCTGTGACATTTCAAAAACTGAAGCATGGGTTTGGAATGTGCAGACAGTAGAAACACTGGATTTAAATATAGATTTGAAGCAACAAAGATTTTATCTAGGGTTTTATTTTTACTCAGTGGATGGCTGAACCAACTCAATGCAAAAGAACATATAAATGCCAAATTGGAGCATAATTAGGACACAGCTGCTCGGAATATGGCCATATTCGGGGAATAAGCTAATTGGATAAGGGCATATCAAAGATTTAATGACAGCAAGTTATAGCAGGAGTTTCTCATTGTGTTTTCAAGGAGATGTAATTATGATGCCCTAAGAGAGCTCTCCTCTATCCACCCACACTCAGAATATATAATACAATCTAATTTAGATAATTCTACTACTGATGACATTGTACAGCTTTTGTTGTGTTCATATAATAACTCTTGCAGTTTGCATGTTATGAAGTCCAATGTCACATTATGCGTTATTCATTTTTCTGTTTCCCTTTTGGAGCGCCTCTTTGCTTCTCTGTTTTGCTGCTTGCAATTCAGATTTCCTTCACATAAATCTCACTAACACTCATAATATTCAACAATGTTATTTTCCATGCAGTTCATATTCACTGTAGTTCTAGTATTAGTATTCACATCCTGTGGGAAGTGTGTGCGAGATGGTATCTACTTCAGATATCTCTCTTCATTGAAAAAGCTGCATTTGAAAAAGCAGGTTGTGCTGCATTATCAAGTCAGACATTCATCCTGGAACGCTAAATAGGTCACCTTCTCCTCTCATTTTCTTCAGCAGCATCTCCAGGTGACTAATATCTAAGAAGTCTTTAAACTAAAACCTACATGTCTTATACGTCATATTAGCCATATATAAATAGATCTTATATATTTAGCAAAGAGTCAGTGGTGCTTTTATATCCGGTGTACTTTATTACTCGTTATTAAGATATACTTTCCTAATAAAAAATATATTAAAATAATCAATAAAGCATTTAGTAAATAATAATTGATCCCATCTCTCTCACTTCTGCACGGTATTGATAATGCATGAATGTAGAATATAGGAGCTTTAAGATGACTTTTTATATGAATTAAACATTTACAAGTGCTTATCGCTACACCATTTCAACACATTAGCAAACCCAATGATCCTTATCCTATCCTTAACCTGTTACGCACCGCCCCCCCGGTACCGGGCGGATAAACGCGTCATTTGCAGGAAACAACGTCGAAGGAATCTTAATATTTAATAAACTATGAATGTTTTATATCCATGTAACTGGAAGAAACTCAGCTAACTGATCTTTTGAATTTTTTTTTCCAAAAAAAACCCACAATGCTAACACTCAGCCTCTGAATTATCCACGAGCGAAAAAATGTAACCTAAAACTGCAGCTAAACTCACTCATAACTCCCTTATTACTTATCCTAGATGCACAGCCAACCCATCGATTAGCATCTCCTGGAGACACAGAATCGGTGTAAAAAACCTCAACACTCAGTGATAAACATTTGCGACGCTATAAACGAAAGCGTACATCAGAACATGTGGAGCTAGGTAGGTAGAAACGCTAACATGGCTTACCTTGGTCAAAACTGGTCTTCAATGGCATTAAAACGAAAAAAAAACATTTTCACCCAAATCACCTCAGAGGTGGGGTGGTTTTGGCTAAACCTCTCTAAAAAGGTCAAATGTCACTTGTTTTGCATCAATCTTGATACAGGGTACTTATTATATGTTGTACTTTGGATTCCTAAAGCTTTTAGTTTACTAACCCATCATCCAAGGGTAGTTTTCACTATAAGTAAAAAATAATATTTGGACGGACACTATAATTTACAGTTTTTTACTATGTAAAATCTGAATTTTCTTTAAAATAAAAAACATTTATATTGATTCTGACACTTCTACATCCAACTCACAGATGTAACCTTGCTTTGATAAAAGAAATTATTCATATAACCCTTTTAGAAGTTAAGTTGTAGTCATTTGTTTTGGGCATGTCATTTTCGAGCCTGAAACATGAAAAACAGGCTTGGTGCTTAACAGGTTAAGCGTGATAAAGATGTATTCCTAACTATAAGAGAATGTATTTTTTGGTCAAACTAAACTTTCTTTTGGTCAAACAGCAAATGGATGTTTTTGCCGCCTGTCTGCTTCGACATTTGCTGCAGCTCTGTGTATAACTTCTGAGACAGGCTGATTTCAGAAGTTTCCAGACACTCAGTTTCCCGAGATTTCTTTAAGACCATCTTTTCAGCTCCTGCCTTTGTACGAAGTTACACAACCCAAGATAACTTCAAACTTTTCCAAAAGTTATAACATTTTCAGCTCACCTTATTGCTCAAAGGATGTACGCATTATCCTTTTACCTATTTTTTGTATTCATCCTTTGTCAAAATATCTCTGAAAAACAGCATTTCATCTGCGTTGGAAAGATAACCAAGGATGTATGAAGTAACAAGTTTGCAATACAAAATTGAAATTCTAGGTATCTAGTCTTGCAACCGGCTGAGTTTAGGAAGTCTGTTTCTGAGGGGAAATAAAGAGTGCACCGCCTTGTAACAATGACAAACACAACAAATTACGTTGCTAAAACTGTTGTGGATCCAGTACCTTAACACACAGGACATTAAAACATAACACAATATAAACAGAGTCACAGTTAATTGAAGTTAAAGCTTTTGTTGTTGTAAAACAGTATAAGAGATAGAATTATTGCTCTCTACAGCCAAGAGAGAATCGTACAGCTTTTATACAATGTGGCCACAACATTTGGACCATCAATGGTTACATGTACGATGTATCCTTCTTCAGCAGCGAAAAGAGAGACAGACATGGTACAAATGTAAACAACAGTAAGGCTTACAACATAAAATAATGCTGCTGGATGCAGTTGGTGCAGCATGGAAACAGCACTGAGTAATTGTATTGCTTCAAATGACTGCATTCACTAGTTGGACACCCAAAAATGGTTACATTTTCTTTTAATTACAAGTATACCTATGTGTTTTGCATCATCAGTGACATTCTGGCTGAACTGACATAACTGTGAGGCAGAACCAGGCACACAGCCACTGCTGAAATCTGTTTTATGTTTCTTGAGGTAAGCATCACTCTTGGTGCCAGTTTGGCTTCCCTGGGAGGATTACTGTACGGGAGCGTTGGTTGGAAATTGGACGCTTTATAAGAAACACTACATCGCCCTGGGAAACAGTTACTGATGATGAAACATTCAAATAGCAGTTACAGAACAGTTCAATTAGCAACCGGGGATCTACAGCGCAGTCTGTCAGACCGCTGGACATTGGCTCAGGCATGTACTGTAAGGTTAGAATCTGGGCCAAGTTTCAGCACACAATTGGTTTTGTGCTTTACAAAGCCAAAATGCCCTTGGCTTGAGTGAACGCTTCCTCCCACCTCAGAGTGTCTGGCCCCTTGTCGGATACAGGCCTGCATGTTGAATGAATGCAAATGTCTGAACCAAGTGAGGTGAGGGTTGCTGTACAAACGGTGATCTGACACGCTGGAGGTCACAGATAAGAGCTGTTACTAAATAAGACAAGATTTGAGAAGATGAATCCTAACCTTGCCTGAAGAACATCTTCCGCTAAATGCAACCGGCTAGGAAATGCTGTATTATGTTACAGCTGATACCTTGGAGTGAGCGATGAGCCAATGGATTTTAAAATAACTACACCCCGACTACATTCGGCCAACTTGTGGCTCCTAACCAGCTGGATCTGTTGTATCGCTCCCTGAGTCGCAATCGAACTGTTTTGAGCAGTGATTCACCAGAAAATGAGTCATGATCTTTTGCTGCAGGGGAAAAGGAGAGTTAATGGGTATGATGAATCCACATCGCTCCTCACAAGGCATTACATAGAGAAACATTATACAAGCAGTCTTTCTTTAACATAAAGAATATCTTATGGCAGGGGTTTTTAAGTGGATTCAAAAAAGGTTGTCTTTAAAATAATGATAGAACATTTTCTGAGTCAGATTGATAAAAGCTTTCAGTTGAAACAAAACATTATTAAATAAAATCATATAAATATAAAATCAAAAGGGTGTGCTCAAAGTCTACAACATTATCCAGGAAAGTGTCGAGCAGCTTCAAAGCTTGTCCTTTCAACCAACCCTCAAAGGTGTTCACCTTTTCTCAGTAGCTGTATCATTAAAGATGATCCCTGTCAGTGGCGGTTCTATACTGTGACATCAATTGTTACCATTTTGTGAAAGGAGATGGTGAAAAGCCACAAAAATGGGCTTTGGTTGAAATAAACATGTTAAAAATGGATGGCTCTGGGTTCAAAATCAAAATGTCAGTACTTGGCTTTGCTTATAAAACAAATTGGGGATGACGCTTTCACTGGTGGATGAGAAAAAACACTATTTAAGCCAAATAGACCAAAGGAAATACCAATATGGACGTGAAACGATTCCTCCAGTAGTGGTTATTGGACTAATACTCTATCAGCTGTGTATCAAACAGGTTTGTCTAATCGAAAGTAAGATTCACCTTTGATCGGTCATTATAGTATCATCGCTCTAACCTGTACATCTCAAAATAAAAGGTTGTTTTTTTACCGCTGTGATTGCAGCTGTTACATAAAGGCACTTTAGTGAAGCTATCAGCTCCCATGCAATACCTTTGTGGAGACCTTGTATGTAAATGACCATCCCACACATCCTCGATAGACATGTAGAAAACCCAACCGTTTTTGTCAGAGGGCAAAATTTGAAAGTCAAATAGAAATCAATGGAATGGATGTTTGAAGGCATGTTTGTGTATCAGTAGATCCGCAGAGACGTTGAGGCGTTGGGGGCGAGGAGAAGTTTCCTTTACTGGGAAACGTTTCTTCTTTAAATCCCAGTGTCCATGAGACAGCAATGTTTTGAACATTGTTTTATCCTTTGTCGTGCTCTAATTAAAATGTTTAAGGAAGCTACTATCCAATCAAATACTCCTGCCTAATCAGTGGCACCTTGGAAACAATAAAAATAACATGCTCCTTCCTCTCTCTCTTCAGCCAGCGTCCAAACAACTACTCATTTTGTTTTCTTCTTTATTTAATTGATGTTAATTAACTCATTACAGATGTATCACTGCTAAGGTTCCTCATGTACTGTATGCTGCTTCCCTCTAAGCCAGGGCTGAGCTACTGTTATAATAATCACTGCAAACATTCATGCCAGGTTAAATGCAGGCTCAGGTATCAGTGTTGGAAATTAGCAGAGTTATTACTTTCCCACCTTGTAGGTCTACTGATCATTGAAATTCAAATTATGTTGGGAGTGTTTCAATTAGGTGTCCCACTTGATTTACATTATTACCATGACTATTCACATCCTGAAAACACATGTGATTAGTTTATTCTTAAGAGCCATACAAGAAATGTAAATGTGTGCTCAGACCACAGCATCCCCTCTGTAGAATAGATGCTTTGATAAACCTGTAAACATCTTTATCTAACTATGATATACAGCACACATGCATTATTGAGCCATAGTCCAATAAGATCAGCATTTGAGAGATGGAAGGTGGAAGGTTATGCTTGATAGACAGTTGGATATATAATTTAATCCAGAACAAATAGTGTATTTGCTCAATATCCTGCCATATAAACAACAAAAATGGCAATGCAAAGACAAATAAAAACGTCTAAATCTCTGAAATATCGACGCTTCCATCCCTGAGAAGATATTTACCAGTTTGATTCTAAAACATCTTTATGTTGAACGTTTTTGCCACCGATTCGATCATTGTTTTAGGAATGACATGTTAATGTTTTTGTAAAATAGGAGACTTGAAGTTAAGGCTTTGTGTTTTAAAGTGGATATATTATTTTGAAGTATTTTCATATACCTACGTTAAATTTGTAAACCTGCATAATGTTATTTTCTTAACTACATAAACCTTTCTGGCAGAGTGGCCTTGCTTCTTTAAAAATGTTGAGTATACAAAGAAAAAATCTAAAATGTGTTAAATTTAATATTTTCCAAACTCATCAAAAGCAACCGCATTGGACTGCTTTCAGTTGATTTAGCGTGTTTCATAGTATTTCAAAAATAAATAATAACCCTTCTGCTCCTACTGTGTTCTCTAAGTGATTATTCTTGGCACACAGAGGAACATATTGCTGCTGCAACACTGTCTTTATCCCTCTTTGATTAAATACCAATACTCTGATCAGAAGGTGTATACATCATTCTGTCAGAAGTATTTAGCATTCAGGTTAATCGAGTATCATGAATGCATTGCTTTTACTCAATAAATCATAATTGGCACAATATGTTGCCAATTATGAACATGAAAGCAGAAAGCTATGAATTATACAATAACAATTCTGTCTTCCTTTGTGAAACCATTCAACCTAACATAAAGAACTGAATACACCTGCCCCTCCTATTTTCTGCTCAATCAAACCGTGAAGATAAATGTGTCCTTCAATCAAGCTTATCCTAGCCAGAAAACCATTCAAACAATATGTCGGAAAATGTAGAACCCCACCGATGATTGTGATGTGATCTTTTATGTGTGTAATTGGAATGACATCGTTGCTTTCATCTATGTTTGCAGGAATCAGTTGTGTAGAGGAGAGTGGTGAGTCGGCCAACATGACAGACTGCCTGCGATGGGCCGGCCCTGTCCCCCCCCAGATCAGAGGGTGCCGGATAACTTGCAAGGATGACTGCACTCTAACTGCTTGGTCCAAGTTTTCTGAATGCGCTGGATGTGGCAGCTCCCACAGTCGCAAGCGTTCACTCACAGGTAAAGACTTTTCTTCATAGACATCTCTCAAGGCAACATTGGATTGGAGATTGGATTCTTAGCTCATGCATTCTCACACTGTAAAACCTCAGTCCATATTTTAACGCTGGATATCTGTTGCTGTTTATATTTCTCTACGTCTCCATCAGCCAGTGATGATCTACTACAACCTTGTAGCTTGCACCACAGTTGGAAACAGAAAGTAGTCACCTTGTACAGTCAGTCCAAGAGAAACTCGTCTACATTCCTTGGTCTTCAGGGTTGTTGTCATGGCAGCATATTCTCGTGCGCTTGAAACCACTTGCACTTTGACAGGCGTACGTGCAGTACTGCAATCCAGCCAAGCCTCTTTCTGGTTCTTGTTCTGTTACTGTAACTTCCTACTGTCCCCGTTGTGTTATGTCTGGTCTAAATTAGGTCCCTCACAGCGTGTAATCCCTTATTCCAGTGCAGATGGCAAAATAAGAATTACATGCTGTGGTTGCAGACCAGGCTGGATACTATTTGTCTTCATGAATATTTGATCTGATGCTGGAGGGGTTGTAGTAAACACATCCTGTCTCCTTCTATAAGAATCGTAGAATATAGCACGTGAAATCAGCCCGGAGCTCTGCGGTGGGCTTCATTTGGGAAAGACCATGTGTTCGCGTTCAGCGTGTCCTTATGGTCATTATAGCTCTGCTTTCAAACTCTTCACTGCCCACTTTAACACTTGCTTTAATTTCTCTGTCAGGTGATGGAAAGTGAAACCACTGTGGGTTTTAAGCTTAAGTGTGTGGTTAAGAAAGTTGTCAACCAACACATCTGCTTGCATAATACAGCCATGTTCAAAGCATCCTTAGGCCATATTGCAGTAATCATCGTAATGTTCCAAAAGATGGTTTAAGGAAATGCTCTTCATGGCAGTGTATGTCTCTTTGGATTTTCTATGTTGGACCCAACTACATTCATACATAAAGAATGGGTTAATGCTTCAGTATAACCTTAACCCTATCAAAGTAGCCCTGTTACGAATACAATAAAATGGAGGTTGGATAGTGGCAAGATGCTCATGCAGGAAAAGGTACAAAGGACACAATGAATACATCTAATTTGCATAAAGAAGATTATGAAAGGTTCTCCATGGTTTTTCCAGTGTCATTTTAGTTTTGTCACAATTCACCAGCCCCCATCGTATCTTGCCACTTATCACCCATAACACAGTGTGTTTACAAGCAAAACTAATTGAGGGCTTGAAAGGACAAAGACATAAAATGAGCAGCCACGCCTCAGCACATTGTAATTGTTTACTGTTTTGTCGGCTTTAGACATCCCAAACCTCCTTTGCACTCACAAACACACATTTAATGGATTTGTACCTTGGCTTGTTAAGGTGACGCCTCTGATGTTTTCTATCTCACTCAGAAAACCATGTGATTGTTTGACTTTTGGTAGAGTTTTGCTTGACTGGTTTTCCTTCTGATCATCAGACCACTGTGTCAGTCACTTGAACTGGAGCATGCATACTGGGCCATTCACATGAAAAGGAGCATAGCTGTACATCTTATGTTTATCCATATTAAAGGTCCCATGTCATGCTTTTCCGGCAAAGTCACAAACCCTCAAAGTACACCCTGTAGCGAGTAAATCTCTAACACAGAAAAGACCTGTCTATGTCCAAATGGACCAATCCGTGGAGCTCCTCACACACACACTCTCTCAGCGGCAAAACTGTGACGCGCTGGGGGGGGGGGTGCTAGTGGAGCCTCGCAGCGGCGAAACTGTGGCGCGCTTACAATGTAGGTGCGCCGCGTTTGGGGGGGGGGTGCAGGTGCTAGTGGAGCCTCGAGCCTCGCAGATGGGGGTGCTGCAGCCCCCTCAGCACCCCCCCTTCCCGCGTCCATGGTGCTCAGGCTGAGTTCAGGATGAGTTTTGCGATGTCTCGCTGTCTCGCAGACCCCACGCAGCAACCAGGAAATGGCAGCGAGCCGCGCAACGTCCTGCCAACACGGCACCCAGACCCCACGCAGCATTCTCATCTGTTTGTCATTACTGGTGTCATTTTCTGGTTGCTAACGCCATTGTAACACATAATCACTGATGTTCCGCTGTAACGGTGGTGGACTCATCAGAACAGAGTGGGCGAGCTGACCAATCAGAGCACACTGGGCTCACAGGGAGGGGGGGGGGGGCAGGAACTCCAACAAGCCGTTTAGGACAGAGAGTGAATACACATACTATACACAGAGATGCTGTATGTGAAACCAATGTGAGTTTGGAAAATTGCACAATGTAAATCTATTCTAGTAGACCTCAACAATGGAATTATGATCAGTAGAAATGGCCATGTCATGGGACCTTTAAGGCAGCATTATAGGTGGCTTAGGAATGTTCTGGAGTCCAAAGAGGAGTCTTTTTGAAAGGCATCTTTATCCTGTGGAGGTTTCCTCTAAAGTCCAAAGAAATTCAAATAAGGTGAACTGAATATTTCTATATCGCCCATAGGTGCGAATATGTACCATCGCCTATTTCTCAATGTGTGCTTCGTTACTGCATAGTAGCTGTGTTATGGCTTATCCTTTTGCTTTATATTTAATCAGTAGACTGGTCTGAGGTGCATTTTGCTCTCTTGCTTGTTGATGATTGCATGCTCAGATACACTCCGAAACTACTTGAACCTATGTTTTCGGCAGCCTCTCTTTCTCTTTTTCTCCCTCCCCGAGGCGAGCGTGCACTCCTGCTGTAAAAGGCAGGTGCACCGCACCCACTGCCACTAACTCTGAGCCTGGCTCCCGAGCAGGACGTTCAATCTCCCCGGTAGTCCACCAGCAGATGAAAAACACCCACCATTAGAAAAGTGCCGGTCAAAAGTCTTCTTTGTTATTTATTGAGCTTTAAAACAAATTCGACTCTATATAATAATATAAGAATAATACAAGGAGCCTCTCTTTTCCTCCCCCTCTCCTGACAGCCCATCAGTATCCGTCTCATGCTGCTGGCTGATCCAGTAACGAGTGAGCCGACAGTAAAAATAAACATATTTATAACATCACATAACATGACATCTCTCCTGTCCGATTAGACTTCACTCGCGTCTATGTCCATATCGATCAAATCTAGCTAGTTCTAGCTAATGATATGACTGCCTGCGTGTCAAAGGACACCTAAACAATAGGCGACATTTTGACCGGAGAGATTTCGATTTGCCGGTCTTCAGCATATTTTACCGGTCATAGTCCGGGAATTACCGGCTAACGGAAACTCTGCCGTGCGGGGGGGTCTGCTGGAGGCTCCTGCTGGGTGCACTGTCCTGCACGATACCGGGACCTGGCTCGAAACACTCGGAACACTGTTGTTGTTGTTGGCGAAACACATCAGCAATGACGGGAGTGAGCAGGAGAGGCGAGACTATGGCGTATCGGGCGTACACACGGAGCCGTTTGACCCCCCAGAGCGTTCCGTCCGCAGATCTACCCACCTTGGGACCCGTTATCGTTTGAGGGCTCCGTTTCCGCGGTTCCGTTACGGCCTCGTGTGAACGAACCGTCCATACGATATAGAGCAGGGGTTTTCAAAGTGTGGGAAGGTGAGCCTCCCCTCAGAGAACATAAGAGCAGCCGCGCCCCCCCTCCCAATTATTTAGTGGGAATGCTGATACAGCATTCCAACTATATGTTATTTAGTGGGAATGCTGATACAGCATTCCAACTATATGTTATTCTACGGACAACATTTTTATTATTCCGCCGGATTTTGCACCTCTTCTCCTCCTGCATTGAACATTGCAGAAACTCCGTTCAAACATCAAAACGTTCAGCTCGGTCGGGAATCGATGGCTATTACTTTTCTCATTCATAACTTTCATAATTCCAGAGATACATCCCATAATACATCACATTTTTAACATGGAAGTCAATGGAGAAATTCTTCAGACTTCAACAAATCTTCATGCGACTTCAACTGCTAACTGTTCATTCATACTTTCACTCAGAAACCTCATTCCAACTTTAAAATGTTACACATCTTTCTGACATTATTCGTGTAACACAACTTTTAAATCTGATTCTTACTTTTAGAGATATTAAACATTGTTCAGACCTTGTTAAAGAGGTTTTCTTCAGATTTTAACATTAACTAGAGTGCGTGATGTCACAGCTAGAGGGTAGGAAATCTTGAAATTTGCCTTCATATTTCTTTTTAAAACTGCCATAATTCCCAAACCTTACATTCCTGAGACCTAATTTTTCATGACAAACGTAGGAAAACATCTCGTAGCTTGAAAAAGGACAAATAATTAATCAAAATAATTAAACAAAATGCCTCTTGAGGGCATGAAGTGACAAAAACTTTCAACATGTCTCCATTAACACCCATTGTAATTTCAGGCTGATATTTCCTCACAGCAGCAGCCGCACACCTTTAGTTAAACTGCCGAAAAGGCCACATTATTAACCCGAAAGTACACAAAAATGACACTTCAGATACTCAACTTCCTTGACATGCTTCACATTTAGAAATTTCACAGATATCTGTTATGGTTCTTCCACAAAACGTTCACATGTAAGAGGTTTATCTCTCATTCAGAACAATGCAAACCTTTGATCTCTACAGAGCTCGTTAGCTCAACTATAAACACCTGTGTAATGGAACACGATGATGTCATCACTCCAACTGACAGCAGTCAGTTCAACTAGGGATGCATATCGTTGACTTTTTACGATACCGATACCGATACCACTGAACGATACCGATACATATCGTGATACTTTCATGTTGCATAAGGGAAACATTTTATCATCCCGCAATTACTCCCATGAAGCGTTTTATTATATAGTTAACATGTCAAATGAATATTAAATTCAATTGTGGGACTTAGACCTTTTAGTACTGAACAAACAATGAAAAACACGTTATCTATGAAAAAAAAAGATTCTGCAATATCATTTATAACAACCATCAGGCGTGAATAGTACATCTTGTCAATAGAAAAATAAAATAGCACCAGTATAATCAATATTCAA